GAGGGCAGGGTCTTGGGCTGTCTCCTCGTCTGCTGTCTCTCTGGGGCTAGAATGTAACAGATGCAAGCCCTTGTCTGCCCAGAGCAGGGAGAGACAGGTCAAGGACAAGGTGGTAAATGAGGACATTGAATATGGCATTTGAAGTCTAGAAGTGCGTGGAGAAAACAATATAATAACAGGGACAAGCAAAGGGAATGTAGGAAGTGGATCAGTGACAGATGGAGGTCCAAGAATGGCCACCTGAGGCCCGGTGCAGTGGCTCACACCTGTAACCCCAGCACTTTGGGAGGCCGAGGTGGGTGGATCACCTGAGGTCAAGAGTTCGAGACCAGCCTGGCCAACATGGCAAAACCCCGTCTCTACTAAAAATACAAAAATTAGCCAGACATGGTGGCGCATGCCTGTAATCCCAACTACTTGGGAGGCTGAGGCAGGAGAATCGCTTGAACCTGGGAGGTGGAGGTTGCAGTGAGTCATGATCATGCCATTGCACTCCAGCCTGGGCAAAAGAGCGAGACTCCATCTCAAAAACAAAAAGAATAGCCACATGGGAAGCTGACACTTGAGCCAGCCCCTAGGGGAGGAGTCATGCGAATGTTGGGGAAGAGTGTTTCCGGCCGAGTGCACAGACTGTGCAAAGGCCCCGAGGCAGGAACAGAACATGCCGGGTGTGTTCAAGGAACAGTGAAACGTTGGGTGTGGCTAGAGCGAGCCAGGGAGAGGGAGATGGAGAGAGGGGAGGACGGAGAGGAAGATGAAGCTGGAGGAAAAGGAAGATGGAGGGGAGATGGGGAGATGAAGAGGGAGAGATGACTGGGCGTGGTGGCTCGTTCTGTAGTCCCAGCACTTTAGGAAGACGAGGCAGGTGGATCACTGAGCTCGGGAGTTTGACACTAGCCTGGGCAACAAAGTGAGACCTCATTTCTACTAAAAATACAAAAATTAGCCAGATGTGGCGGCATACACCTGGAGTCTCAGGTACTTGGGAGGCTGAGGCAGGAGAATCACTTGTATCTGGGAGGCGGAGGTTGCAGTGAGATGACATCGCGCCACTGTACTCCAACCTGGGCGACAGAGCAAGACTCTGTCTCAAAAAAAAAAAAAAAAGAAAAGAAAAAAAAAAGGTGGGGGAGAGAATGGAGTGGGAGGAGGGTCTGTCTCTATCACCGCAGGGTCTCAGCTAGTGTGGGCCTGGCTCTCAGTAGGTGCTCACCATTTCAGGAATCAGAGTTCATGCCTCTGCAGCTGGGCACTAGGGAGGGCAGGTGCACTGGGTGCTGGACTCAGGTGCATGAAATCAACATTGGTCCAGCCTCTGTTGACTGAGCACATGTTCCAGCAGGCGCACAGATGCTAGAGACACACAGACGCATAGATCTCCTGGGTGTCATTGAATGATGGAGGGAATGAATGAATGATGAAGGAAGAAATGAATGAGTGAATAAGTGAGTGATAGAGGGAATGAATGAGGGAATGAGTGAAGGAGGGAATGAATGAGTGAGGGAATGAGTGAAGAGTGAACGAATGAGGGAATGAGTGAAGGAGGGAATAAATGAACAAAGGAGGGAATGAATGAGTGACTGGAGTGAATGAATGAGGGAATGAGTGAAGGAGGGAATGAATGAGTGAGGGAATGAGTGAATGAGGGGGAAGTAGACCCATGATCCAGGGGCTCTGTGCAAGGCTTTGAGGGGAAGAGTGAAGGGGGACAGGGAGGGCTCCCAGGATGGACAAGAGAACCCCCTGAGACCAGCGTGCCCCGCTGACCACACCTGGCCCCATTTAGGGAGAGCTGTGATGGGGGCACAGTAAGCATACATGGGACATGTGGTGCCTGGAAGGCTTCCTGAGGGAGGCGATGAGGATGCTGGGGGTGCTCAGTGAGTGGGGAGGTGTGGGGGGGCTTTGCTCAGCTCAGTGAGCTTGTGGTCATTGGGGATAGGGAGGCATTGTCACTAGGAGCTCAGCCACCTGATCATATCCCCAAAGCAGCCAGAGGTGCCTTCCAGGAGCTTCCAGGATAAATGGTTTGACCCATGCAGGATGTCTCATGAAAACCCTGGCCCTCTCCCCCAGAGGCTCACCTCCAGCAAACCCCACCACCCTCCCATCTCCACAGTTTTCATTGTGAACCCCTCCTGGGGCCCGTGAGCCTGCCTCAGACCTCATGCCCCTTTCCTCTCGCCTTCCCCTGATTCCCCCGCACTGACCTCCACTCTGGTCCTCATCTGTGCCCCATTCCCAAGCCTGTTCCCACCCCAGGGCCTTTGCACTGGCCGCCGTCTGGAGGTACCCACAGCCGCCCCCTTTTGCCTCACCAGGCCCTGCTCAGATACCACCTGCCTCTCTCAAGGGCGTCCCCTGCCTCTGCCCCTGGTCCACAGGACCGACCACATCACCCCTTGCAGTCTTGTCACCATCCAGCACTGTCTGGTATTCAGTCATGTACATGGAAGGGGTCTCTCTCCCCAGAGGACTGTGAACCCCAGAGGGTGGGGCCTGGTGGTCTGGGTGCTCTGTCCCCAGAGCTGCAAACAGTGCCTAAAACACAACAGGCACTGGTATGCACCGGCTGCCTGAATGAATGAAGGAGGGAATGAATGAATGAAAGAGGGAGTAACTGATAAATGGAGGGAAAGAAAAAAGGAGGGAGTGAATGATAGAGGGAATAAATGCATGTGGGAGGGAATAAATGAACAAAGGAGGGAATGAATGAGTGAAGGAGACAATGAATAAGGATGGAATGAGGCCGGATGTGGTGGCTCACGCCTGTAATCCCAGCACTTTGAGGCCGAGGCGGGAGGACGACCTGAGCCCGGGAGATCGAGACTAGCCTGGCCAACATGGTGAAACCCCATCTCTACAAAAAATACAGAAATGTTGCTGGGGGTGGTGGTGTACTCCTGTAGTCTCAGTGACTAGGGAGGCTGAGGTGAGAGGATCACTTGAGCCTGGGAGGTCTGCAGTGAGCCACGATCATGTACCCGAGTCTGGGTGACAGAGTGAGATCCTGTCTCAAAAAAACAGAAACTGAATGAGTGAAGGAGGGAAGGAATGAATGAGGGAGGGAAAGAGTGAGTGAAGTAGGGAATGAGTGAGTGAAGATGGAATGAATTATGGATTGAATGATGACTGAAGGAGGGAATGAATGAAGGAGAGAAAGAATGAGGGAGGGAATGAAAGAGGGAAAGAATGAAGGAGAGAATGAATGAATGACAGAATGAGCGAACGCTGGTGCTGAGGTCCACTGTGAATATGTTTAGGGGTGCGAGGAACCATTGCAGGGATTTGGGGAGCCTTGGGAGAGGCAGGGGAGATCCAAAGGATGGATTCGATGATGATGGTTTTGATGTGGAAGCTGGAGGGAGGTGGTGACTGGACCAGGCTGAATCAGGGGCAGGTGTGGTCGAGCCCCTGCCCTGTGTTGGTCAGGGCTGGGCACGTGTGGGTACTGTAGCAAACACACCACACATGCCAGTGGCTCAGCCCAACACAAGGTAACTGGTTCCCAGAGCTGGGGTGCAGGGCGGAGGCAGGGAGCCAGGAAGGGGTGAAGACCACTCATTTTCCCAACTTCTAAATAAATAAATTCTGAATTTCCAGGTTCTGTGATCTAAAGCAGTTTTTTCCTTTTTTCTTTCTTTCTTTCTTTTTTTTTTTTTTTGAGATGGAGTCTTGCTTTTTTGCCCAGACTGGAGTGAAGTGGTGAGATCTTGGCTCACTGCAACCTCTGCCTCCTGGGTTTAAGCAATTCTCCTGCCTCAGCCTCCAAAGTAGCTGGAATTATAGGCACCCACCACGACGCCTGACTAATTTTTGTATTTTTAGTAGAGATGAGGTTTCGCCATGTTGGCCAGGCTGGTCTCAAACTCCTGACTCAGGTGATTCACCCACCTGGCCTCCCAAAGTGCTAGAATTACAGGCATGAGCCACCGTGCCTGGCCTAAAGCATTTCTTGTTTGTTAGCTTTTAAAGTTCATTCTCGGCTGGACGTCATGGCTCATGCCTGTAATCCCAGCACTTTGGGAAGCGGGGACGGGTGGATCACCTGAGGTTGGGAGTTTGAGACCAGCCTGACCAAGATGATGAAACCCCATCTTTACTAAAAATACAAAAATTAGCCGGGCATGGTGGCATGCGCCTGTAGTCCTAGCTACTTGGAAGATGAGACAAGAGTATTGCTTGAACCCAGAAGGTGGAGGTTGCAATGAACTGAGATCACGCCACTGCACAGCTGCCTGGGCCACAGAGTGAGACTCCATCTCAAAAAAAAGAAAAAAAAAAGTTTATTATCATTCATCTAATAGCAAGGGGTGCCTGCTCACCTCCATATAGTCATTCAGGAGCCCCGCTCCTTTCAATGGGGGCTCTGGTGCCTCTGCCCTTTATATCCACTAACGAGTGGGGAAGCGGAACATCGAACCTTCTAGCAGGGCTTAGCATTCGTTCCTACACCCCCAATCTACTCGTGCATCTCCTAGCCCTACTTGGGTCAGGGGCATCCCCTCCCCAGTTGGGGCCACACATGCTGACAGATGGATTCAGCCATCTGTCCCTGGTGCCACCGAGTGACCTGGGGGCAGAGCAGCTGCCTAGCTCGGGGCTGGACCCTGGGGGTCCTGGTTGGGGTGGTCTCAGCATGAAGAATCCAGGCTGAAGGCAGTGGGGGATGATGTCAGGTGCTCCGGACGTCTCAGGGGACAGAAAGGAGGATGGGATCAGATCCCAGCTCCACCAGGGCCACCAAGCCAGCTGGGGTGTGGGGGGGAGGACAGGGTGACTGATTTATTTATCATGCTTTGAAAATCTACCTACTTCCTGGCTGGTTGGTAAATGGCCCTTGCCCTTGGTCCCCTGAGAGATCTAGCTACCGAAAGGTTCACCACAGACCTCATCAAAGCCCTGGCTGCCCTGGGATCCTCCAGGGGGGAGGCTGAGGCTCCCGAAAGCCAGGCCGGGCAGGGCTTCCTTGACGCTGTCCCCTCCGTCCTCCCTCCCAGCGGTCTCTCTGTGCTGATCCGCGTGCGCCTGGAGCTGCGGCGGCACCAGCGCGCCGGCCACACCATCCCGCGCATCTTTCAGGCGGTGGTGAAGCGGCAGCCCGAGCGCCTGGCGCTGGTGGACGCTGGGACCGGCGAGTGCTGGACCTTTGCGCAGCTGGATGCCTACTCCAATGCGGTGGCCAACCTCTTCCTCCAGCTGGGCTTCGTGCCGGGTGACGTGGTGGCCATCTTCCTGGAGGGCCGGCCCGAGTTCGTGGGGCTGTGGCTGGGCCTCGCCAAGGCGGGCGTGGAGGCCGCACTGCTCAACGTGAACCTGCGGCGCGAACCCCTGGCCTTCTGTCTGGGCACCTCGGGCGCCAAGGCCCTCATCTTTGGCATTGAAATGGCAGTGGGTGAGGCCAGGCGCGGGCATCAGGTGGGCGGGGACCTGAGGCATCCCTCGGGCGGGCGGAGAGATGCGGCGCCCCAGGCCTCGGAAGGCCGCCCTGGTTGTGGCCATGAGGTGCACGGTCTGGGTATGCCCCGAGCAGGGAGTTGGTGCATCCCAGGCCTCGGGAGAGGGCCTGTCTGGAGGTGACTATAACCCATGTATTGGGGACCACAGCGGTGGCCGAAGTGAACAGGTATCTGGGGAAAAGTTTGATCAAGTTCTGCACCGGAGCCTTGGCGCCCAAGGGCGTCATGCCAGACACCCACCTCCTGGACCTGCTGCTGAAGGAGGCCTCCACTGCCCCTTTGGCACAGATCCCCAGCAAGGGCATGGACGGTGAGTCAAGGGTGGGACCCTTCCATGCCTGCCCTATCCCCCGTTCCCTACCCGCCAGGCCCCGCCCCCAACTCCCAGGCCGTGCCCACCCCAACTCCTAGGCCACGCCCCAAATCCCAGGCCCCACCCCCAACACCTGCGTCTCCTGCAGATCGTCTTTTCTACATCTACACGTCGGGGACCACGGGGCTGCCCAAGGCTGCCATCGTCGTGCACAGCAGGTGAGGGGCCCACGGGCATAGTGCCTTCAGCAGCTGAGGGTGACCCAGGCTGTCTTGCCATCCCAGCCTGCCCCTCAGCTCCTGTGGGGTCAGTGGCATTTCCACCTTACCCTGGGGACAGAGAGGTCAGCCCATGTTTCCTGAGCACTTACTCTGTGTCCAGAGCAGGGCTAAGCCCTCCACGTGCACACTCATTGGAACCCTAAGGGCTTGGGGCTGGACGAGGGCATCACACCCATTTTCACACCCACGGCCCATCTTGGGACCCGGTTGCCCTGTGCCCACTACTCTGGGGCACCTCTCATTCCCCCACCTGTTCACGACATCCAGCCCATCAGCAAAACCCATCTTCTCCATCTGTCCACTGTTTTCCATGCCCTCCACCTGGACCTGTGCCAGCTCCTCCTCGGGCTCGTCCTGCTCCCCCAACTCTCCCCTCCACCCGAGACGGCTCCTGCCAGCAGCCACAGGAGGGCTGAAAATCCTAAATCAGACCTCCCCTGCCCCAGACCTCCCTGCACTTACCTTGACCCTCAGAATAAAACCCTCTTTCGGGCCAGGTGCGGTGGCTCACGCCCGTAATCCCAGCACTTTGGGAGGCTGAGGCAGGCAAATCACTTGACTTCAGAAGTTTGGGACCAGCCTGGCCAATATGGCAAAATCCCGTCTCTACTAAAAATACAAACAATAGCCGGGTGTGGTGGTGCATGCCTGTAATTCCAGCTACTCAGGAGGCTGAGGCAGAACCCAGAGGTGGAGGTTGCAGTGAGCCGAGATGGCGGCACTGCACTCCAGCCTGGGTGAAACAGTAAGACTCCTTCTCAAAAACAAACAAACAAACCAACAAAACCATCTCTCAGTTCGTGTGGCCTCTGCCACTACCCTGATGTCATTTTCCTCCCCCCACCCCTCGCTCACTCCTCCTCAGCTCCTCAAACCCTCAAACCCACACATTCCTTCTAGCCTCGGGGCCCTTGCATGCTCTGTGCGTGGGCATTCTCCCGTAGCTCGCCCCTACAGCTCTTTCTTGCTAGGTCTCAGATCATGCTTCACCTCCCCAGACAGGATTCCCCAACCCCCCGGGACTGCGTCACCATCAGCGCCTCCCTGCCCCTTGACCCTACTATACCCCCGTGACGCCTACCACCACCACCAATTGTTCGTTGCGTGTTTTCTTCCTGCCAACCTGTGAACCCAGAGTTGTGCTGGCTCCGCCTGGGTCCACACCCAGCATGCTTCTTCATGCCCATGCCCTGGGGGATTTTGGTCCTAGCCCCTGCCCTCCCGGCTCCACCTCCCCCCCACAGGTACTACCGCATCGCAGCCTTCGGCCACCACGCCTACTGCATGCAGGCGGCTGACGTGCTGTATGACTGCCTGCCCCTGTACCACTCAGCAGGTACTACGGGGCAGCCTGAGTAGGGAATGGTGGTGGGTGGGGGCGGGGGACCCCTCACCGAGGCCACCCTCTGCAGGAAACATCATAGGTGTGGGACAGTGTCTCATCTATGGGCTGACAGTCGTCCTCCGCAAGAAATTCTCGGCCAGCAGCTTCTGGGACGACTGCGTCAAGTACAACTGCACGGTCAGGCCCCGCCCCTCCCAGCCAGGCCCCACCTCCTCCCAGTCAGGCTCCACCTCCTCCTGGTGAGGCCCCGCCCCTTCCAGCAAGGCCCCACCTCCTCCTGGTCAGGCCCCCGCTCTCTCCCAGCCTGGCCCTGCCCCCGACCAGGTCCTACTCCCTTATGTGCGCCCTCTGGTCCACCTGCTGGCGCAATCATCTCTGGGAGTTGGGGGAAGGAATGGCTGTCCAGGATGGGGACAGAGACGGCAGTGTTTCCTGAGTGCTTGCTCTGTGTCCAGACCAGGGCCAAACCTTCCGCCTGTAAATTCAATGCAGCCCTTATAACTGCTTGGTGGATGGACAAGGGCATCACACCCATTTTGCAGATGAGGAAACTGAGGCTTATAATGTGACGATGATTGGGCCCAGGGTGCCTAAGCTCCTTAAGGCAATGCCTTCCCTATGCCTCCTGCCCCGTGGGTCTTCCCTGTCGTTGACTGTAGGGAATTGAGACCAGTGGGTACGAGGCTGGGGCTTCCAGGTGAGGAATGTGTAAGGTGGAGGTGGACTCATCTGCCGTCTCGGAGAAGAGAGCAGGTGGAGGTTAAGAGCAGGGATTCTCCTTTCCCCTCCATGGTGAGAGGAAACCAGGCTGAGGGTTTCCATGCTGTAAGGGGGGATACAGGAAATACAGGTGGGAGGTACAGGAAACAGGTGCGGAGCCCGGAGGAAGTAGCAAGGCTGGCTGGGTAAGGATTGGGGGAGACATCGTGCCACTGCACTCCAGCCTGGGTGACACAGCAAGACTCCCTCTCAAAAAATAAGGGACTGTGGCAAGTTGGCAGATGCAGATTGGACAGATGCTGCCCAGAGAGGTTCGGCCACCTGTGCAGGTCACACAGCTGAGCAGGGATGGGGGGCTTTGGGCTGAGCATCCTGGGATACACCACCAGGTCCACAGCTGTGCTTGGCTCCACTTTTGAGGAGTTTTCGTTCTGCTTGGAAGGTCTTGGGAAAGTTACTAATCTGCATGTTGAAAAACAAAAGTACTTTTAATTTTATTCATTTATTATTTTTGAGACAGAGTTTTGCTGTTGTTGCCTACTGCAACTTCCGCCACCCGGGTTCAAGCCATTCTCCTGCCTCAGTTTCCCAAGTAGCTGGGATTACAGGCGGGCACCACCACGCCTCGTTAGTTCTGTATCTTTACTAGAGACGGAGTTTCTCCATGTTGGTCAGGCTGGTTTCGAACTCCCGACCTCAGGTGATCCATCTGCCTTGGCCTCCCAAAGTGCAGGGATTACAGGCGTGAGTCACCACCCCTGGCCTATTTATTATTATTTTTTCTTGAGACAAGATCTCACTCTGTCGCCCAGGCTGGAGTACAATGGCGTTATCATGGCTGACTGCAGCTTCAGCCTCCTGGGCTCAAACGATTCTCCAGCGTCTGCCTCCCAAGTGTCTGGGACTACAGGTGTGCGCCACCATGCCACCATTTTTGTATTTTTTTTGTAGAGATGGGGTTTCACCATGTTGCCCAGGCCAGTCTCAAACTCCTGGGTTCAAGCGATCCACCCACCTTGGTCTCCCAAAGTGCTGGGATTACAGGCATGAGCCACTGCACCCGGTCCAAACATATCTTTTTTAAAAAAAATTATAGGGGGTAGCAAATACACATAAATGTGAACAGAAAAGTATAGACAGTTCTGGTGCATCCCTCAGCTGGACCAGGGGCGATTAGATATCCTGCCCTTCCCTCAGCTCCTCTCCACATCCTTCACTAGGCAGTGGCGTAAAGCATCCCTGAGACAGCTTCATGTTTCCTGTGTAGCTGTTTCAGTATAACCTTTGAAGGATGAGGACTTGTTTCAAATTCAAGTGAAATTCATGTACATTAGCCATATTAAAGTGAATAATTGGGCCAGGCTCGATGGCTCACGCCTATAATCCCAGCACTTTGGGAGGCCAAGGCGGGCAGATCACTTGAGGTCAGGAGTTTGAGACCAGCCTGGCCAACATGGTGAAACCCCATCTCTACTAAAAATACAAAAAACTAGCTTGGCATGGTGGCGGGCGCCTGTAATCCCAGCTACTCGGGAGGCTGAAGTGGGAGAATCGCCTAAACCCGGGAGGCGGCGGTTGCAGTGAGCTGAGATTGTGCCACTGCGCTCCAGCTTGGGCGACAGAGTGAGATGCTATCTCAAAAATAAATAAATAAATAAGTGAATAATTTGGTGGCATTCACAATGTACAATCACCATGTCTATCTAGATCCAGAACATTCTCATTCTCCCCAGAGGAAATTCCATCCCTACATACGCCGCCTTTCCCCACCCGCAGCCCCTGGCAACCACTCTGTCGCTATGATTTGCCTGTTCTGAACATATCAGATCAATGGAGTCAGAAACTGTAGCCTTTTGTGTCTAGTAAGGATTGTTTTTAAGTGACAGTGATTTCTCAGTGTCGTCAGCAATCTGGGCAGTGGCTCAATCCTGTCTCACAATGTCAAAAATGTGTTTTTTCTTATTTCCATAATTAAAAAAAAATACACAGCCAGCATTATGTTTGGTTGATGTGTCTTATAAGAATTCTTGGCTGAGCGTGATCGCTCACGCCTGTAATCCCAGCACTTTGGAAGGCCAAGGCAGGAGGATCACTTGAGCCCAGGAATTGGAGACTGGCCTGGGCAACATAGCGAAACCCTCATCTCTACAAAAAACTTAAAAACTACCTGGATGTGGTGGTTTCTGCCTGTAGTCCCAGCTGCTTGGGAGGCTGACGTGGGAGGACTGCTTGAGCGTTTCCTCTCTGGGCCTCAGTGCCTTCACTCCAAACTCAGCTCAGAGTGTGGCGGTGGTGTCTGCTCAGCACTTTGGTTTAATCATCAGCCATTTAGTCAGTGCATCCTCAGGAAGCCCACCCAGAGATGAGAACGCAAAGGCACCGTGGGATGCCTGGCAGGTGACCCCAGGAAGCCCTTGCTGGGCTGGAGAATGTGTGGCAGGGAGGGAGGGTGTCCTGCTTCTCCAGGGCACAGCTGGGGCACAGGGAATGCCTCTCAGTGATGTTTGAGCTGAGACTGAAGAGTCCTAGCAGATGCATCTGGGGGAAGACTGCTTCAGGCAAAAGGCGTAGCATGTGCAGACTCCCTGAGGGGCAGAGTTTTCCGGGGAGATGGAGAGGCGGGCGCGAGGGCGGCAGGGCCAGATCCAGCTGTGCGCCACTGGGAGGCCCTGAGCACATCTGCAGCTGTTAGGATCCATCCGGTGGGTAATCCCTGCCATGCAACTGTTGTATTCCCACTCTGGGGCCAGGATGCCTGGGTTCAGATCATTCTGCCACTTCCCAGCTCTGTGATCTCGTTCCAGTTCCTTACCATCTATGAGCCTTGGTTTCTCCCTCTGTAAAGTTGGGTGTGAAGCCCGCCTGGAGATGAGAACGCAAAGGCACCGTGGGGCACCTGGCGAATGACCCCAGGAAGCCCTTGCGGGGCTGGAGAATGTGTGGCAGGGAAGGAGGATGTCCTGTAGGGGGAGCCAATGAGCAGGCGGCTCCGTGAGCGCCTGGGGCTCAGTGCAGATGCAGAGCAGACGAGTGTGTGCACCCGGGAGTGGTCCGCCAAGGGGTGAGGCTCTGGCCAGCCCAGGCTCAGCCAGGGGGCTCTGCAGGACGCTGTAGGCTCCAGGCCGAGGGCTGCCCTGCGGGGTGTCAGCTCTCCTGCTAGTCCTGCCCTGTGTGCCTGCTGAGGCTCAGACTCGGATGTGGTATCTCCAGGAAGCTGCCTGCGGGACTGGAAGGACCATGAAGGGACTTGGGGGTGGGTGGGTAGAAGACACTGTCTGCATCTGCCTGGATACAAGTTGCATCCGTCTAGGCACAAGTAGATCACGCCTGAAATCTCACACTTTGGGAGGCTGAGGCAGGGGGATTGCTTGAGGCCAGGAGTTCAAGACCAGCCTGGGCAACAGAGCGAGATCCCCCATCTCTACAAAAATCTGTAGTCCCCGCTACTTGGGAGGCTGAGTCTGGAAGATCACTTGAACCCAGGAGTTTGAGGCTGCAGTGAGCCATGATCACGCCACTGCACTCCAGCCTGGGTGACACAGGGAGACGCCAACTGAAAAATAATAATAATAATTAAAGCTGCATCCTAGGCCCTTTGCAAGAGACTGATCAAGTCCCAGGAGTCCACGTGGACCCCACGAGAGCTATCATCATCCTTAGGCTATTTCGCTCATAGGATTAGCTCCCTGGATGGGGCGGTGTCGGGGACTCTCCACCGCCTGCCGGGCCCATCGCCCACTTCTCCAACCCCCTTAGGTGGTTCAGTACATTGGGGAGATCTGCCGCTACCTGTTGAAGCAGCCGGTGCGCGAGGCGGAGAGGCGACACCGCGTGCGCCTGGCTGTGGGGAACGGGCTGCGTCCCGCCATCTGGGAGGAGTTCACGCAGCGCTTCGGCGTGCGCCAGATCGGGGAGTTCTATGGCGCCACGGAGTGCAACTGCAGCATTGCCAACATGGATGGCAAGGTGCGCGCCTGGAGGGCCCTGGGCAGGTCTCGGAGTTCAGGGAAGGCCACTGCCTCCTCTTCCCCGGGACCCTGGGATCCACAAAACAGCGTGGACTGGCGGAAGGCTCCGCCAAGGGCGCGCGCAGGGTGGGGCGTAAGGCGAATTCCTGGGACCCCAGGTACACCACCAGCGGGTCAATGCAGGGTATGCAGGGACAATCCTCCAGCCTGCACAGTGTGACTGTGGTCTTTCAGTCAGGAGAGTTGCAGGCCAGGTGTGGCTGTGCGCCCTGGCAGGAGCCTCAGCCTTTCTGAGCCGCAGTTTCTGCGTGTGGTGATCAGCAAAGATAATAGGGCTCTGGGTACAGTGCTGTTATTCTTTGTTGTCGTTGTTTGAGACAGAATCCTGCTGTTGCCCAGGCTGGAGTGTGCATGATCATAGCTCACTGCAGCCTTCAGCTCCTGAGCTCAAGCAATCCTCCTGCCTCAGCCTCCCAAGTTGCAGCAGAGACGTTCATGGTTAGCAACTACTTACTCTATTAATGAGCGCCATTCTGCACTGGCGTGAATCTCCCTCTCCTTTCCCAAGCCTCTTCCATCCAAGGCCAAGAACAGATCATAATAATGAGCATAAAGCAAGTGTCGGCTGGCCTTGGTGGCTCACACCTGTAATCCTAACAAATGGGGAGGCTGAGGCAGGAGGATCACCTGAGCCCAGGAGTTTGGGACCAGCATAGGCAATGTAGTGAGACCCCCTTCTCTACAAAATATAGAAAATTAGCCAGGCATGGTGGTGGGTGTCTGTAGTCACTGCTACTAAGGAGGCTGAGGCGGGAGGATCACTTGAGCTTACGAGATCGAGGCTGCAGTGAGTTATGATTGTACCACTGGATTCCAGTCTGGGCGACAGAGCGAGACTGTCTCTCTAAAAAGGAAATAAAGCAGCAAGTGCCACGGGAGCTGGGTCCCCAGTGCCAAGGACGCTGCTTCCTCATTGTGCTTGGTGTTGGATGGCCATCCCCCCCGCCCCGGGCACCTTTGCTCACTGTAGCTCAGATTGCTGCATAGGAAACACAGCAGGCCAGGCACGATGGCTCACACCTGTGATCCCAACACTTCGGGAAGCCGAGACAGGCAGATCACTTGAGGTCACGAGTTCGAGGCCAGTCTGGCCAAGATGGCAAAACCCTGCCTCTACTAAAAATACCAAAAAATTTAGCTGGGCTCGGTGGCGTGTGCCCTTAATCCCAGACTCAGGAGGCTGGGGCATGAGAACCACTTAAACCTGGGAGGCAGAGGTTACAGTGAGCCGAGATTGCGCCACTGCACTCCAGCCTAGGTGACAAAAAAGAAACACACTAGACAGGGTGTGGTGGCTCAAACATGTTGGCCATGCATTTCCGTTCACAGAACCATGCCAAGCAGGGCGGCAGGCAGCAGGGGAATCTCTGCAGGGTCTCACGTAGTGTAGGGTCACCAAGGCATCCACTTTCTACCAGCATGGAGGGTTTTGTGGGCCAGGAAGTGGTCGCCAGCTGCAGTCTTCCCTTGACAGCATGCAGGCTGGGAAGGTGGCAGGAGGGGCCCTGAGTTGGAGGCGACACTTACTACCCTGCTTCTGCAGATCAGCCAAGGTCACAGAGCTTAGCGCCACACTGGAGGTGCTATTCCAAGCCCTGGGGCAAGGCAGGCAAAGTGTTAGTGCAAAGGACCCCGCGTACCCCCGGCTCCTTCCAACTCAGTTCGCCCCACCCCAGGTTGGCTCCTGTGGTTTCAACAGCCGCATCCTGCCCCACGTGTACCCCATCCAGTTGGTGAAGGTCAATGAGGACACGATGGAGCTGCTGCGGGATGCTCAGGGCCTCTGCATCCCCTGCCAGGCCGGTGAGTGGGTCCCCCATGTGGTCCCCTCCTGAAGCTGGGATCCCCACGCTCTGCCTGCCCAGCGCAGCCTGAGTGTGGCCTCCTTCGCAGGGGAGCCTGGCCTCCTTGTGGGTCAGATCAACCAGCAGGACCCGCTGCGCCGCTTCGACGGCTATGTCAGCAAGAGCGCGACCAGCAAGAAGATCGCCCACAGCGTCTTCAGCAAGGGCGACAGCGTCTATCTCTCAGGTGTGCAGCCTGCTAGGCTCTGGTGACTGGCTGTGAGGATGGGGATCCGCCACCCATCTACCCCTCTCCCCTCTGCCAGGTGACGTGCTGGTGATGGACGAGCTGGGCTACATGTACTTCCGGGACCGTAGCGGGGATACCTTCCGCTGGCGAGGGGAGAACGTCTCCACCACCGAGGTGGAGGGTGTCCTGAGCCGCTTGCTGGGCCAGACAGACGTGGCCGTCTATGGGGTGGCTGTTCCAGGCAAGCTGGGATTGCAGGGGGTGGTCCTGAGGCATGGTCCTGAGGGCGCTCAGCCAAAAAGGGCTTGGAGGTACAGGTGCCCTTGGGCAGTGCACAACCTAGACAACTGCTCATGGCAGCCCAGGAAGCAGCACTGGATCTGGAGTCAGTTCACCTGGGTGATGTTGAGCCTCAGTTTTGTCACCCAGAACATAGGATCAAGAAAGCCCTGTCTAAGAGCTTCAACGAGCCAAGCAGGAGCTCTGTAAAATGTGTGCTGCTTCCATAAACGGCATCCCAGGTGGGGAGAGACTGGAGATCAGAGACCAAGGGCTACTGCCTGACAGTGTATTGAGCCCTGCTGGTGGGGAGGGGACGGGTGGGGTGTCCTCACTGAGCCTCTGCTTCCAGGAGTGGAGGGTAAGGCAGGGATGGCAGCCATCGCGGATCCCCAGAGCCTGCTGGACCCCAATGCGATGTACCAGGAGCTGCAGAAGGTGCTGGCGCCCTATGCCCGGCCCATGTTCCTGCGCCTCCTGCCCCAGGTGGACACCACAGGTGCAGGTCCCCCCACCCCTAACCTCTCTCTTCATCAGCGTGTCTGCTGATTCGTTTCTTGGTCCATTTCTTGTTGCTATAAAAGAATACTTGGCTGGGCGCGGTGGCTCACGCCTGTAATCCCAGCACTTCGGGAGGCCGAGGTGGGTGGATCACCTGAGGTCAGGAGTTCGAGACTAGCCTGGTCAACATGGTGAAATCGCATCTCAAACTGGTCTTAAACTCCTGGGCACAAGAGACCCTCGTACCTCGGCCTCCCAAAGTGCTGAGATTATAGGCATGAGCCATTATTGTGCCCGGCCCCCATAAAACTTTATTTATAAAAACAGGTGGAGGGCCAAATTTGGCCCACAGGATGGAAATTGCTAAACTGTGATCCACTGTGTAACAGACACAGCCCTGCCTGTCGCGTGGTCACACATGACCAGGCGGGGTGCACACTGTTTCTTGCTCTGGTGAGGAGTGGTCAGGGAGGCCTCCCTGGAGGAGGGTGCATGAAGCCAGGATCTGACAGAGAAGGGGGAATCAACCAGGCAAAATGGAGAACATTTCCGCCCAGGGACAGCCTGTGTGGAAGCCCAGAGGTGCAGGAGGGATGTTCCCCAAGGCCACCTGCTCAGCCCTTATCTGCCCCCACCTCCACTACAGGCACCTTCAAGATCCAGAAGACGAGGCTGCAGCAAGAGGGCTTTGACCCGCGCCAGACCTCGGACCGGCTCTTCTTCCTGGACCTGAAGCAGGGCCACTACCTGCCCTTGAATGAGGCGGTCTACACTCGCATCTGCTCGGGCACCTTCTCCCTCTGAAGTTCCTCCCCTGCTGGCCAGAAACTCCAGGCCTGGTGGGAGAGGCCAGCTTGAGCCAGACAGCCCTGCACAGGGGTGGCGGCCTCCTGCGCAGCCACCTGGCCGAGCTGTACCTGGTGGGGCCCGTCCTGGACTGAAACTGGAACCTCGGATGAAGCCGTGCCTCTCTGCTGCATTGGCACTCCTGCGTCTGTCCCCTCTTCCTGCCTTTCCGCCTCTGGCTCCTTCCATCCCTGTCCCTGTCTGGCCTTAACTCTTCCCTCTTTTTCTTTTTTTTGAGACAGTCTCGCTCTGTCGCCTGGGCTGAAGTGCAATGGTGGGATCTTGCGCCGCAGCCTCCTGAGTAGCTGGGATTACACCCGCCACCACGACCAGCTCATTTTTGTGGTGTGCCACCGCGCCCGGCTTTCCTCTTTTTCCTCTCCTCTCTCCCTCCTCTTCTCTCCTGCTAAGAGTGGAATGTGTGTGTCGGGAGCTGGGGCTCGGACCGCCGGACCCTGGCCTCGGACTGGGGCCTCCCACCTCCCTCCTGGCTGTGCCTTACGGAGCCCCGCCCAGGCCTCCTGCAGCTGTTGGGTTCCACTTGCTGCAGCCCCACGTGACTTCCAAGCAGGCCCTCCACCCTCCCTGCTGAATGGAGGAGCTGGGGGCCCCAGGGGCCAACTGGAAACGTCGCCCAGGCTAGGCCCATTGCCTTTTGCACTTCCCCGTTCCTGGCGCCTTTCCCCAGCCCCACCTTCCCCTCCCGATGCCCTGAAAGCTTCTGGAATTGACTGTGACTGCTTGAATGTCGCCACTGCCAGCCCTGCCTCGATGTCCCCATTTAGCCATCTCCATGGAACTCCTGCCGGAGGGCCCTGAACCCTGCACTGCGTGGCTGCCCAGCTGGCTCCTTCCTGTCCCAGGAGGAGGCCTCTTGGGTGTCCTCATCTGCTGTGGCTACTGGAGAGTCCCACAGGAGAGGCAGCAGTGGGGTCAGGGGAGGTCTCCTGCCTGGGGTTGACCTCTCAAGCCTCAGGGGTTCTAGCCTGCTGAATATACCCCACCTGGGGCATGACGCTGTCCCCACTGATGGCTCTGACACTGTGTTGGTGGCGATGTCCCACACAATCCCACCAGGTCAGCCCAAATGTCTCTGTGTACCCACTAGTGGCTCATCACGGACACGCAGTCCAGCCTTTCTGGGGCTGGCCACCCAGGCCGCCTGTACGTCTGTCTTCCCTCCAGCAGCACCTCCTGGCCCCTGGAATGGTGGGGCCGTGGCGAGTGACCCCATGGCGTCTCATGGGGACTTTCCTGGGCACTGTGGTTTTATTTTCTAATTGGTTTAAGAAATAAACCTGAAGACTGTCTGCTGCCTGCTAGGAGCCCATTCATTGATTGTCCCCACGTGGCACAGAACCTTTGCAGGGTTTCAGAAAGCAGGACTCGGCTGGCCCTGGGCACAGTGGCTCATGTCTGTAATCCCAGCACTTTGTGAGGCTGAGGTGGGAGAGTCATTTGAGCCTAGGAGTTCGAGACTAGCCTGGCCAACATGGTGAAACTCCATCTCTACTAAAAATACAAAAAAAAAAAAAAAAAATTAGCTGAGTGTGGCACACCTGTAATCCCAGCTACTCAGGAGACTGAGGCAGAAGAATCGCTGGAACCCGGGAGGCAGAGGTTGCAGTGCACTCCAGTGTGGGTGACAGAGCAAGACTCTGGTCCAAAATAAATAAATAAGTAAATAAATGCAAAAAGGAGCCAGGCATGGTGGTGCATACCTGTAATCCCAGCTACTCGGGAGACTGAGGCAGGAGAACTGCTTGAGCCCAGGAGGTGGATGTTGCAGTGAGCTATCGTGATACAGCACTCCATTCTAGGTGACACAGCAAGACTCTGTCTCAAAAAAATAATTTAAAAAAAGGGCCGGGCGCGTTGGCTCACGCCTGTAATCCCAGCACTTTGAGAGTCCAAGGTGGGTGGATCACGAGGTCAGGAGTTCAAGACCAGCCCAGCTAAGATGGTGAAACCCAGGCTCTACTAAAAAAAAAAAAAAATAGAAAAATTAGCCGGGTGTTGAACCTGTAATCTCAGCTACTCCAGGAGGCTGGGGCAGCGAACTGCTTAAAAACCTGGGAGGTGGAGGCTGCAGTTAGCTGAGATCGCACCACTGCACTCCAGCCTGGGCAACAGAGTGAGACTCTGTCAAAAAAAAAAAAAAAAATGGCGGCGGGACCCACACAGTCTGGGGCTGGCCCATCTGCAAGACCAAAGGGGCCTTGGTGCAGGGGCACTCGGGTTGGCCCTCCTTCCTGGCCTGCCGGGGCGAGCGTTGGGGGGGGGGCGCCTCCTTGCAGCCTCTGGGCCTCACAGCCACAAGTTGGCCTCTGTGGTTGCATGGGAGGGATGGCCGATTTGCCCGGGGGTTCCTGTAGGTGTTCAGGATGGCCCAGATCAGAGGGTGTGTCCTGGCACCTGTGGCTGCCCCGGGAGTGTCCTGTGTACAGGCTGGCTGGTGTGAAAGTTGCTAGGACTGCTGCGGTGGCCGTCTGAGCTGGGATTCGAACCCAGGACTCGAAGCTCAGGAGTCTATAGTTTTCCTCCCAACCCCTGGGGAATATGTCCCAAGACCCCAAATAGATGCCTAAAACTGACTATAATACTGAGTCCTATAGGTTTATTTCTTTCTTTTTCCCTCCCTCCCTTCCCTCTCTCCCTTTCTTTCCTTTTTTTATTCTTTCTTTCTTTCTTTTTTTTTTTTTTTGAGATGGAGTTTCACTCTTGTTACCCAGGCTGGAGTGCAATGGCGCGATCTCGGCTCACCGCAACCTCCGCCTCCTGGGTTCAGGCAATTCTCCTGCCTCAGCCTCCTGAGTAGCTGGGATTACAGGCACGCGCCACCATGCCCAGCTAATTTTTTGTATTTTTAGTAGAGACGGGGTTTCACCATGTTGACCAGGATGGTCTCGATCTCTTGACCTCGTGATCCACCCGCCTCGGCCTCCCACGGTGCTGGGATTACAGGCTTGAGCCACTGCGCCCGGCCCTTTTTTTTTGTTTTGTTTTGAGACAGAGTCGCTATGTCACCCAGGCTGGAGTGCAAAGGCACATTTGGCTCACTGCAACCTCCGCCTCCTGGGTTCAAGTGATTCTCCTGCCTTAGCCTCCCAAATAGCTGGGATTACAGGCACACAGTACCATGCACAGTTAATTTTTGTATTTTTAGTAGAGACAGGTTTCACCATGTTGGCCAGGCTGGTCTCGAACTCCTGACCTCGTGATCTGCCTGCCTCAGCCTCCCAAAGTGCTGGGATTACAGACATGAGCCATCGTATGCGGCTCTTTTTTTTCTTTTCCTTCATCCCTCACTCCCTCCCTTCCTTCCTTTCTTTCTTTCATCCTTCCCTCGCTCTTTCTTTTTAATTTATTTTTGACACAGGGTCTTATTCTGTTGCCCAGGCTGGAGTACAGTGGCATGATCATAACTCAGTGCAGCCTCGACCTGCCAGGCTCAACAATCCTCCATCAGCTTCCCGCGTACCTGAGACTATAGGCGCCACCCATCATGCCCAGCTAATTTTTTGATTTGTTTGTAGAGATGAGGTCTCACTATATTGCCCAGGCTGGTCTCTAATTCCTGGGCTCAAGCAGTCCTCCCACCCTCGGCCTCTCAAAGTGCCGGGATTATGGGTGTGAGTCACCGTGCCCAGCTTACACAGGGTTTTCGAGCTCATAACCAGGAGGCTACCAAGTGACAAATGGGTGGGCGCTGGGGGAGTGGCGTCTCCAGCATGGATCCGCTGGACAAAGGGGTGATTCATGACCCTGGGCGGGACAGAGAGGGATGGAACAAGACAGTCTGAGATTTCATCATGCTCCACAGAACAGCGCACAGTTTAAAACTGATGAATTGCTTATTTCTGGAATTTTCCATTTACTATGTTTGAACTGTGGCAACTTCAGAAAGACAAAGTTTGAATAAGAGGAAACTACTGTGCTGTCAACTGACTCTCAGCTCTGCTGTCCCCTCCCTTGTCGTAACACGGGCCTCCTGTTGTCTCTACCTCAGGGAAAGCACACTCAGGGGGTGACTCTTGTGTGCAGATGAACAAGTACAATTTGTTTTTTTTTTTTTTTTGGACGGAGTCTTGCTCTGTCACCCAGGCTGGAGTGCAGTGAGTGGCACATCTAACTCACTGCAACCTCCACCTCCCGGGTTCAAGTGATTCTCCTGCCTCAGCCTCCCAAGTAGCTGGGATCAGAGGCACGTGCCACCACACCCAGATAATTTTTGTGTTTTTAGCAGAGACAGGGTTTCACTATGTTGGCCAGGCTGGTCTCAAACTCCTGACCTGAGGTGCTCCACCTGCCCTGGCCTCTCAAAGTGTTGGGATTACAGGCATGAGTCACGGAGCCTGGACTATTCCTTTCTTTTTGAATAGTCCTGGCACCCTGGCAAAGATCAGTTGATCATATATTCATGGGTTTCTTTGTATCCGTTCCAGTCATTTATTTACATGTATATCCTTATGCCAATACCACGCTGTTTTGATTAATATACATTTTTATTAAGTTTCAAATGAGAAAGTATTAGTCCTCATATTTTATTCAAGATTGTTTTGGCTATTTGGGGGCCATTTACAGTTTATTATGAATTTGAGGATCAATTTGTCAATTTCTACAAAGATGTCATCAATTTCAAAGGGATTACATTGCATCTGTAGACCAATTTGTGGAGTATTGCCATCCTAACATTATACTTTCCAATCCAAGAACTAGGATGTCTTGCCACTTATTTAGATCACCTTTAACTTTTTTCCAGCAAAGTTTTAGTTTAGTTTTGCTTGTTTTGAGAAAGGTTCTCATTCTATAGCCCAGGCTGGAGTGCAGTGGCAGCAACACAGCTCACTGCAGCCTTGGCCTCCAGGGCTCAAGCGATCCTCTCACCACAGCCTCCCAAGTAGCTGGGACCACAGGCAGCTGCCACCAGGTCCGGCCTTGACTTCCCAAAGTGCTGGGATTACAGGTATGAGCTACCAAGCCTAGCTGCAGCTTTCAATGTACAAAGTCTTGTACTTCTTTGATTAAATTTATTCCCGGCCAGGCATGGTGGCTCATGCCTGTAATCCCAGCACTTTGGGAGGCCGAGGCGGGTGGAGCACCAGAGGTCAGGAGTTCAAGACCAACCTGACCAACATGGAAAAACCCTCTCTCTACTAAAAATACAAAATTAGCCAGGTGTGGTGGCACATGCCTGTAATTCCATCTACTCTGGAGGCTGAGGCAGGAGAATTGCCTGAACCTGGGAGGTGGAGGTTGCTGTGAGCCAAGATCCCGCCATTGCACTCCGGCCTGGGCAACAAGAGCAAAACTCTCTCTCTCTAAAAAAAATATTCATTTCTAATTTTATTCTTTGTGATGCTATGGTAAATGGAATCGTTTTCTTAATTTGCTGCTGATTTTAAAATGCACTACTTGTGTGAGTCTCATTGCGCTTACATACTTCACTGAATTGCCCCACTCTCCAAAGTGGCCCAGCCTCCCCAGGCCCAGGAGGCCTTCTCCCCATTTCAGACCTCCGCCCAGGCAAGAACGCGACTGGAGAATTTTCTGGGCAATCAGAGGGACACAACAGCACGCTAGGCGCGTTTGCTGAAAAATTTCAACAATCATGGCCAGACACAATGGCTCTCACCGGAATACTACCACTTTGGGAGGCCGAGGCAGGATGATCGCTTGAGCCCAGAAGTTCAAGACCAGCCTACACCATACAGCAAGAGCCTGTCCCTATGAAAAAAGTAAAAAAATAAATTCAACAAGCAAATTTTCACCCCTAGGTTTTTTTGTTTTGTTTTTGAGATGCAGTCTCGCTTTGTTGCTCAGGCTGGAGTGCAGTGGCACCATCTCTACCTGCCGGGTTCAAGCGACTCTCCTGCCTCAGCCTCCCGAGTAGCTGGGATTACAGGCGCGTGCCACGACGCCCGACTAATTTTTGTAATTTTATTAGAGACAAGGTTTCACCATGTTGGCCAGGCGGGTCTCGAACTCCCAACCTCAGGTGATCCACCCACTTCAACCTCCCAAAGTGCTAGGATTACAAGCGTAAGCCACTGCGCTCGGCCTCATACCCTACTTGGGTCAGGCATAGTTCAGTAGGCTTATGAGGCATCAAGTGAACAAAACAATATCCCTACTCTTATGGAGCTTATATTTTAATGAACGAGGACGGGCAACAAATAGCAACAAGATAAATATGTTTAAAGGTGCAGGAATTTAAAAGCCCGCCAAAATACGCCCTCCTTCAGGAAATCCCTGCCACCTGGATAGGACGTCCTCTTCTTGGGCTCCCCTCTCGGGCCCTCCCTGATACCGCAACGTTAAGCATTCGGGCACTGACTGATCGAACTCGGACAACAGGACTCAGGTACACCAGGCAAAGATTCAATGGGTAGGGCCAGACCGACTAGCAAACCCTGGCGGGGCTTCACTTGCCTCACTGCGCATGTGCCAGAGACGGTCGCCCAAAGTACTTAAAGTAAAGGTGTAGTGCCGGCCCTTGCGCAGGCGCACCAGCGGCCTTCGGGAGCGCTTCCGCCTCCCCACCGCCGCCGTCGCCATGGCCGCGCCGGCCCCGGGCCTCATCTCGGTATTCTCGAGCCCCCAGGAACTGGGTGCGTCGCTAGCGCAGCTGGTGGCCCAGCGCGCAGCATGCTGCCTGGCGGGGCCTCGCGCCCGTTTCGCGCTCGGCCTGTCGGGCGGGAGCCTTGTCTCGATGCTAGCCCGCGAGCTGCCCGCCGCCGTCGCCCCTGCCGGGCCCGTCAGCCTAGCTCGCTGGACGTTGGGCTTCTGCGATGAGCGCCTCGTGCCCTTCGATCACGCCGAGAGCACGTACGGCCTCTACCGGGTGAGAGCTACGGGGGCCGCTGGGGGTCACGCCGAGAGGGCCACAGCCACGGCATACACCTCGGCTACGGAGGCCGCCGGGGACCATGGCGAGAGGGCCGCGCCCACTGCCTGCACTTCGGCTACGGGGGCCGCTGGGGGTCATGCCGAGAGGGCCGCGCCCGCTGCCTGCACCTCGGCTACTGGGACCACTGGGTGTCAAGGCAAGGGGGCCGTGCCCACTGCCTTCACCTCGGCTACGGGGGCCGCTGGTGGTCATGCCAGGAGGGCCAAGCCCACAGCTTGGACCTCGGATACCAGGGTCAAGCCAAGAGGGTTGCGCCCACTGCCTGCACCTTGGCTATGGGGCTCACTGGGGTCACACCGAGAGAGCGTTACCCACTGCCTGCTCCTCGGCTACGGGGGACATTGAGGGTCGTGACGAAAGGGCTCGCCCACTGCCTGAACCCCGCCTACAGTGTGGGTCCCGCAGGAGCTCACCGCGCTCTCTGCCTTTATCTAGGCGGGGCTGGAAATGGCCCGCTTGCAGTTCCTCTTCCTACTTCATCCGGTGATCAGGCAGAGGAACGGCACCGGCAAGGTCCTGGCAGGGAATCCGAGTGACCCATGTCACTACGAGGCCCATAAACAGCCCCGTAGCGGACGGGGGCACGAGGAATTAGGTGTGGAGCCTGGATCGCAGGGTCCTCATCTCTCACCCCAGCATCATCTCGGGGATCCCCGGGCAGCTTTGCCGCTCTGATGGCCCTGCTTCCAGGCTCTTCGTCTTTGGCCTTGAGCCTCAGGATTCAGTAGAATCAGAGGAACGCGCTCTTTTTACAGACAGGGAAACTGAGGCTTGGAGGAGCCTTGGCCTGGCTCAGGGAAGAGTGGGAGGAGCGGGCTCAAAGGCCGGAGCCTCAGTCACCTGAGCCTGGCAGCGTGGAGGGCCACCCATGCTAGGTGTGTCGTCTTCTTTTTGCATAGAAGCTTGAGCCGATGATGGTTTTGTGGGTTTTTTAGTAATAAGGGGGAAGGCTTTCTGAACGCGTTATGTGCATCAATTCATGAATCCCTACCACAGCTTATGAGATGTTACACCCGTTTCATAGATGGGGAAACTGAGGCCAGCAGAGGAGAGCTTACCCGCCCAAGGCATCTAGTGACTAGAGGGGCAGCCAGGGTGTGACCCTGCCTCATCTGACTTCATAGTTGGGTACACGTTTAGCTTCCAGCTTCCTGTGTGTCTTCTTAAAGAGCATCATTTAAAAGCGGGTTTTTGGCCAGGCGCGGTGACTCATGCCTGTAATCTCAGCACTTTGGGAGGCTGCGGAAGATCACCTGAGGTCAGGTGTTGGAGACCAGCCTGGCCAAACGGCGAGACCCCATCTCTACTAAAAATACAAAAATTAGCCAGGCATGGTGGTGCGGACCTGTAATCCCAGCTACTGGGGAGGCTGAGGCATGAGAATTGCTTGCACACGGGAGGCGGAGGTTGCAGTGAACCGAGATGGTGCCACTGCACTCCAGCCTGGGCAGCAGTTGAGAATGTCTTAAAAAAGAAAAAGTGAAATGCTACAGAGTGCTAGGGAAGAGGGAGCGAGCATTCGTTGTCAAGGGCTGTGGGATGGGGGGGTCCTGAGAAAGTGCCATTTAAGCTGAGAGACGGAGCATGTGCAGGAGCTGACCGTGGTCAAGCGGTGACAAGAGGGCCCAACCAAGGCCAAGGCCGTGCGACAGAACAGATCTGGAGCCAGGACTGGCCTCTTCTGTCAGTTCTCTGTGAGGGGAATCGCTGTGACTCGTTCCCTACGGCTGCATGACAAATGACCACAAACTGAGTGGCTTAAAACCACAGGAATTGATTCTCTCACTGTTCTGGAGGCCAGGTGTCTGAAATCAAGGTGTTGGTGGACCCATGGCCCCTCTGAAGGCTCCTTGGGAGGATCCTTCATTTTCTCCTCCATCTTCTGGGGGCTCCGGGCGTTCCTTGGCTTGGGGTCACTTCACTCTGATTCCTACCTCTGCCTACACATGGCCTTCTCTGATTCTGTGTCTTCTCGTCTTAAAAGGACAGCAGTCATTGGATTTAGGGCCCACGCTAATGCACTATGTTTGTTCTTAATTACATTTGCAAAGATCCTAATCCCCTGCCCTTCCCTCCCCACCCTGCCCTCCCCTTCCCTCCTCTTCCTTCCCCTCCCCTCCCCTGCCCTGCCCTGCCCTTTTTTTGAGATAGGATCTTGCTCTGTTGCCCAGGCTGGAGTGCAGAGGCATGAATCATGGCTTACTGCAGGCTTCAACTCCCGGGCTAGAGAGCAATCCTCCTGCCTCCGCTTCCCCAGAAGTTGGAACCACAAGTGTGCACCACCAGGCCCAGCTAATTTTTTTTTTTTTTTGAGACGGAGTTTTTCGCTCTTGTGGCCCAGGCTGGAGTGCAATGGCGCAATCTCGGCTCACCGCAACCTCCGCCTCCTGGGTTCAAGTGATTCTCCTGCCTCAGCCTCCTGAGTAGCTGGGATTACAGGCACACACCTCCATGCCTGGCTAATTTTGTATTTTTGTTAGAGACAGGGTTTCTCCATATGGGTCAGGCTGGTCTTGAACTCTTGACCTCAGGTGATCCGCCTGCCTTGGCCTCTCAAAGTGCTGTGATTACAGGCATAAGCCACCGCGCCCAGCGCTAATTTATTTTTCGTAAATATGAAGTCTCACTATGCTGCCTGGGCTGGCCTCGAACTCCTGGGCTCAAGCAGTTGTCCTACCTTGGCCTCCCAAAGTGCTGGGATTACTGTGTGAGCCACCATGCCTTTTCATTTTCTGGTGTTTATAAGCCTCAACTTTATGGTGTTTTCTGATAGCAGCCTGCACAGGGACCTTGGACAGAGCACAGTGGTCTTTCCAACCATGGATACGATTGTGTCCCTCCCCAGCTCACACACCCTCCTTGGCTCCCCAGTGCCCTCAGTGTAGAGTCCACACTCCTCAGGTCAGCATTCAGGGCGGTCAGCCCCTGCTTCTACTTCGTAGCTCACCTTAACATTGCCTCAGCTCACTGAGTTAGGCTTTGCACAAAGACGAGGCACTGAGACGTGGAAGCGGTCTCAGAGCAGATCGGGGACCCCGGGGTGCATCTCAGCGGGAAAGGGCTGCAGCCTTTCCCTTGCAGGAGGTCTGACTCCAAGTGCTTTTGAGTTAAATCTGCTGCCAACTCCTCCACCGTTCACAGGCCAGGGTGCCTGCTGTGCGTTGGGTACAAGTGCTGGGCCTGGCCAAGCCGGGCCCCTATTCCCTATAGTGGGGCAGGTGCAGGCGGGGGTGGCTGCTTGGAGGAGGTGGCCTGAGGGACGTATAGGAGTTTCCTAGGCAGCGTCAGGAGGGAGGGTTGGGGTGGAGAAGGTCACAGGGCCTCACAGAGGATAGTGAGGGGCTGAGTATCTCAAGGGCCGTGGAACCCTGAGGGTTTGAAGTAGGACAATGGGCTGGATAGACAGGTACAGGCCGTGGCCAGGAAACCCTCCAAATACAATGGACTGGAAAGACCCCTGTTGCAACGCTGGCCCCAGCCGGAAGCACCACGATCCCAGTTCACCCAGGAGGCCCACCTCCTGTCCGGTCCCTCAAGAACAGCAGGGCTCCCTCCTGCTCTTCAACCTCCTCCGCCCTGAGAGGCGACGTCACCCAGAGCTCAGGGTCCTGGCTTCCAGCATTCCCGAGGTGACCGTGCCACTCATCACCCAGGGGACCTTGCACAAATGCACCGGCATCCCCATGCCTCAGTCTCCCCATCTGTAAATGGGTGTTATGATGGTAACATCACCACCTCTGCAGAGGATCCAGGCGGTCACGTTACTGTTGGTGACACTGTCACTCTGTTGGATGTAGACGCATCTTCTCTCCAGATTGCCAATCCCAGAAAGCCAGGTGATCACCATTAACCCCGAGCTGCCTGTGGAGGAGGCCGCTGAGGACTACGCCAAGAAGCTGAGTCAGGTGAGCCCTGAGGAGCGGCCCTCTGATTGTCACCAGCAGGAACTGCCCCAGGGATCGCTGGCAAATCCCTTTGAAGAATCCCCTCTTTGAGGCCACAGTCCTGCCCAGGGGAGCCTGAAGGCCACGTGGCCTCTGCTGCCCAGGAAACAGGCCTGGGTCCTCACATCTTGGGGACATATGTGTCTCCCGATGTGTGGCTTTGATCACAGGCTGAGGGCTAAGGAGCACTGTTTCGTGTATTATACCTACTTGTATTTCTTTCTTTCTTTCTTTCTTTTTTTGAGATAGAGTCTCCCTTTGTCACCCAGGCTGGAATGCAGTGGCATGATTTCAGCTCACTGCAACCTCCGCCTCCAGGGTTCAAGTGATTCTCCTGCCTCAGACTCCCAAGTAGCTGGGACTGTAGGCACCCGCCACCACGCCCGGCTAATTTTTGTATTTTTAGTAGAGACAGGGTTACCCCATGTTGGTCAGACTGGTCTCGAACTCTTGACCGCCTGATCTGCCCGCCTCAGCCTCCCAGAGTGCTGGGATTACAGGTGTGAGTCACCACGCCTGACCGCACCTACTTGTATTTCTTTTTCTGACAACTGTCTCTGTGTCCTTTGAGTCCCCTGTGCCCCTGCCACCTCACAACCTCTCAAGACTGTCTTCTCCCCATGCCCAGGCATTCCAAGGGGACTCCATCCCAGTTTTCGACCTGCTAATCCTGGGGGTAGGCCCTGATGGCCACACCTGCTCACTCTTCCCAGACCACCCCCTCCTGCAGGTGAGCACACGGATGTAAGTTCTGCCCTAGTCCTGAGCCCAGTCCCTAACATCTGGGACTTCCAGAGGGAGGGACACCTCTGGGATGGAGTGTCTAGAGCCAGAGTTCAGTGGAGTATCTAGACCCTTCCAGGTCTCAGTTCAGCCCCTTAAAACAGGGGCCTTAAACTACGCCACTGTGGGATTGTTAGGATGGGATGGAATGGTGGCTGGACCAGGCTGGGTGTGTGCAAGTATCCAAGAAGCCAAAGCGACATTGTACTTCTGTTTCCATCCCTGACCTTCCTCCCCCAGGAGCGGGAAAAGATTGTAGCTCCCATCAGTGACTCCCCGAAGCCACCAACGCAGCGTGTGACCCTCACATTACCTGTCCTGAATGCAGCACGAACTGTCATCTTTGTGGCAACTGGAGAAGGCAAGGCAGCTGTTCTGAAGGTAACAGCTGAGGGTTCCAGTCCCAGAAAGTTCATGGGCATGTGGGCTCCAGCCTCAGACATTATTGTGCTGAAGCATCAGATCTGAAGAAAACTCAGTCATTCTTGGGTTGAAAGGGAGCTTGAAATTGCAATTAGAAAAAAAGTGGGAGAAATTGCAGTTAAAGGCTAGCTGGGTATTAACAGCTGTGAAATGAAATTGATGAGATGAGGGCAAAGCTTCACTCAGAGGTAAATTAACAGCATTCAAATGCATTTTTTAAAATTATTAAGTAGCAAACCATTGAAATCAATAAATCAAATGCTTTCCTCTAGAATTAGAAAAAGGACGATAATATAAACCTACAAAATGTCAGAGGGAGGACTAAGTGAAGTTAAAATCAGAAATTAATGAGTGGATATTTATTTATTTATTTATCTATTATTTATTTTTGAGACGGAGTCTCACTCTGTTGCCCAGGCTGGAGTGCAGTGGCACGATCTTGGCTCACTGCAACCTCCACCTCCCGGGTTCCAGCGATTCTCCTGCCCCAGCCTCCCGAGTAGCTGGGACTACAGGTGCATGCCACCATGCCTGGCTAATTTTTTGTATTTTTAGTAGAGATGGGGTTTCACCATGCTAGCTAGGATGGTCTCGAACTCCTGACCTCGTAATCCACCTGCCTCGGCCTCCCAAAGTGCTGGGATTACAGGCATGAGCTACCAGGCCCAGAAATAAAGTTTTATTGGAACATAGCCATACCTGCCTATGTGTGTATTGTCTGCTGTGGGACAGGACCTGCAGAGCTGAGTGGTTGCAGTAGAGACTGGATGGTCTGCAGAGCGGAATCTATTGACTCTTGTGTTTTGCTCTGGTCTTTTGCAGTATTAAACAGTTACACACCAGGCACGGCCGATCATGCCTGTAATCCCAGCAGCTTGGGAGGCTGAGGCGGGAGGATCACTTCCGCCTAGGAGTTAGAGACTAGCCTGGGCAAACATGGTAAAACCACATCTTTACTAACATAGCAAGACCCCGTTTCTACAAAACATTAAAAAATTAGCCCGGCATGGTGGCACATGCCTGTGGTCCCAGATACTTGGCAGACTGAGGCGGAGGACCACTTCAGCCTCAGAGATGCAGGCTGCAATGAGCTGTGATGGCGCCACTGTACTCCAGCCTGGATGACAGCTCAAGACCTTGTCTCAAGAAAAATAAAAATAGACCGGGCGCGGTGGCTCACGCCTGTAATCCCAGCACTTTGGGAGGCTGAGGCGGGTGGATCACGAGGTCAAGAGATCGAGACCATCCTGGTCAACATGGTGAAACCCTGTCTCTACTAAAAATACAAGAAGTTAGCTGGGCATGGTGGTGCGTGCCTGTAATCCCAGCTACTCAGGAGGCTGAGGCAGGAGGATTGCCTGAACCCAGGAGGCGGAGGTTGCGGCGAGCTGAGATCGCGCCATTGCACTCCAGCCTGGGTAACAAAGAGCGAAACTCCGTCCCAAAAAATAAATAAATAAATAAAAATAGTTTCAGTGGATAGAGAGGAAGGGACTCTGTCCTTCCTGTTTGGCGCGATGACAGGTGAGTCGAGTATTGTCACATTTTGAGGGTACAAGAGTCATCCTTGGCGAGGGAGCCAGGAGCGTGCTGAGAGGGGCGGGGGCGGGGGCGGGGCCTCACTCTCCTGCCCTCTCCTGCAGCGCATTTTGGAGGACAAGGAGGAAAACCCGCTGCCCGCCGCCCTGGTCCAGCCCCACACCGGGAAACTGTGCTGGTTCTTGGACGAGGCGGCCGCCCGACTCCTGACCGTGCCCTTCGAGAAGCATTCCACTTTGTAGCTGGCCAGAGGGACGCAGCAGCTGGGACCAGGCACACGGCCCCAGGGGCTGGGCCTCTGTTGGCCGCCGTGATCCAGGCTCTCGCTGGAAAAAGCCTCGTGGTGCTGCTGGAAGCCGACAGACTCTGGCCACCAGCCCTGCCCGGGGCTCAGCACACCGACCGTGGCTCTGGGCATCTGGATATTAAAAGGAGCGTTGCTGGAAGTATGCGCTGTCTTGGGGTTCTCGATGGCAGCAGGCCTGGGGGCGCCCTGGCCTGGGTTCTGATCCACAGCCCCCATGGGGAGAAGGGTGGGGCCTCTCCCCTGGGCATCGCCACCATGGAGGAATTTCCTGGGGTGACCTAAGACAACAGGCCGGGCGCGGTGGCTCACGCCTGTCATCCCAGCACTTTGGGAGGATGAGGCAGGCAGATCAGTTGAGGTCAGGAGATCGAGACCAGCCAGGCTAACATGGTGAAACCCTATCTCTACTAGAAATACAAAAATTAACCAGGCATGGTGGTGGGCACCTCTAATCCTAGCTACTCGGGAGGCACAACAATTGCTTGAACCTGAAAGGCAGAGGTTGCAATGAGCCGAGATCGGGCCACTGTACTCCAGCCTGAGTGACAGAGCGAGACTCTGTCTTAAAAAAAAAAAAAAAAAAAAAAGCATCATGGCTCACGTCTGTAATCTCAGCACTTTGTGGGTGGATCACCTGCAGTCAGGAGTTCGAGACCAGCCTGACCAATATGATGAAATCCATCTCTACTAAAAATATAAAAGTTAGGTGGGCGTGGTGGCATGTGCTTGCAATCCTAGTTACTCAGGAGGCTGAGACAGGCGAATCCCTTGAACCCGGGAGGCGGAGGTTGCAGTGAGCCAAGATCGTGCCATTGCACTCCAGCCTGGTCAACAAGAGTGAAACTCTGTCTCAAAAAAAAAAAAAAAAAAAAAAAAGACAACAGAAATGTATTCTGTCCTATCTGTCCTCGTTGTGGAGGTCAGAAGTTCAAGGTCAAGGTGGCCTCAGTGTTGGTTCCCTTTGGAAGCTCTGAGGCTGAGCCTGTCCCAGGCTTCTCCTGTCCTTGGCGTCCCTTGGCACGTGGCTGCGTCACTCCCGTGTCTCCTTCCTCTCCTCACCTTCACTCGGCCTTCTTGTGTGTTCTCTCCTCCTGTTTATCTATTTATTATTATTTTTTTAAGACAGGGTCTCACTCTGTCACCCAGGTTGGAGTGCAGTGGTGCAGTCACAGCTCACAGCAGCCTCCATCTCCTGGGCTAAATCGATACTCTCACCTCAGCCTCCCAAGTATCTGGGGCTACAGTTGCACATCACTACGCCTGGCTACTTTTGGACATTTTTTGTAGAGACAGTGTCTCGCTGTTGCCGAGGTTGGTGTCGAACCCCTGAGATCAAGCGATTCTCCAGCCTCAGCCTCCCAGAGCACTGGGATTATGGGCATGAGCCACCACACCCAGCCCTCTTTTCTTATGAAGATACCTGTCATTGGATTTAGGATTACCCTATACCCAGGACGGTGCCATCTCAAGATACCAAAGGAGTATTCCAAATAAATGCTTATTTGGAATGAGTATTCTGAATAAGGTCACATGCTGAGTTTCCTGGGTCCAGATGTAGACATGTCTTTTGGGGGACATAAGTCAACCCTCTGCTGAGCTTCAACTGCACAGACAGGCCCAAGCACTGCAGTCAGCCACGCTGCAGGCCTGCTCAGAGCCTTGAAAGCACCAGAGTCTAGTCTCGATGTGCTGGGCTTGTGCACGTGCCCCAGGGATGACAGTGTGGGAGGCTGGTGGGAGCGTGGGGGCTGCCCAGTCACGTGTGAGCTTCTCACGGCCGGGGGCAGGGTGGGGGGATCCAGAGGCGGCACCCAGCTGTGCAGGAGGTGGGAATTGAAACCTCCGAGGAGGCGATTGTTCGGGGTGAGAGTGGAGCCAAAACCACAGAAAGTGAAGTTTCCTTCAGCGTCTTGTCCCTGCGGGCCGCTCAGATGTCAGAGTGAGGAAGTGGGACAGGCCTGAGCGGAAGGAGATTGACAAACAGCGCAGAGACCCCAGTGGAAACGGCTCAGCTGTGGGCCTGGGCAAGGGCAGGTGGCTGTGGCCCCCAGAGCGGTGGGCAGGGGCCAGGGCATGGGCAGAGAAGTGAAGGGAAATTGAGCAGCCAGAGTGGGGACCCCATGTGGACAGTTCTGCCTGGGGCTGTCACCATCTCCTACTCTTTCCTGAAAGCATTAACCCTTCCTGCTCCATGTTGCCTTGGGAGCGAAATCCACCCCTTCCCACCAGACTCCACGTGGCCCCTTTCACCTGCTCCTCTCCCCAAGAGCATCAGCCCCTCACTCTATGCCCTTACAACGCACCCACTTCTGGCTGTTGCTAGAGCCCGCTGAGCACATTCCACCCCAGGGCCTTTGCCCGTGCGGAGCCCACTGTCCGGTATCTCCTCCCCTGTAGCTTTTTGCTTGGCTCGGGCCCTCACTTTCTTTTTTGGAGGAGACAGGGTCTTGCTCTGTCGTCCAGGCTGGAGTGCAGTGGCGCAATCTCCTCACTGCAACCTCACCTCCCGGGTTCAGGCGATTCTCCTGCCTCAGCCTCCCAAGTAGCTGGATTATAGGCATCCACCACCATGCCCGGCTAATTTTTGTATTTTTGGTAGAAATTGAGTGTCACCATGCTGGCCAGGCTGGTCTTGAAATCCTGACCTCAAGTGATCCACTTGCCTCAACCTCCTAAAGTACTGGGATTACAGGCATGAACCACTGCCCCTGGCCCCTCACTTCCTTTGATTGACGTCTTTGGCAACGTTACCTTCTGGACCCCCCCATGCCCATCTTCCATCCCCTCCTGCTTCAGTGCCCCCCAAATCTCTGCTCGCCCTTGCCAGGCCCCCCATCCTCTAAGACCTTGGCATCTGCCCCCTTGCCCCGGCACTGACCCCAGGGACAGTCTGGGAGTGTCTGCCCAGCTCTGTCTCCCAGGCCTGGGGACACCTGGGAACTGGGCCAGGGCTGTATCGTCTGTGTGGTTCAGCTTCACACGGCACAAGGTGAGGGTGTGTGTGGCACCAGGAGAGATGCCCCATTCCTGCCCATCCCCCTGTTCCAGCCCCCATACAGACGACTGCTGGCCAGTTCTGCCAGATGTCTGCCCTGCCACCCTCCTTCAAGGCGAGCTATGATTTTCTTTCTCTCGTACCCCACAACCTACCCCCGGGGCAGCCCCCGCAGCCTCTACAGAAACCACTGGCTCTGGGCCACCTTGGCCCCAGGGGGGCGGGGAGGACGCAGGTGCAGCATGGGGCGGGGCAGGGGGCGGGGCCTCTGAACCCACCGCGTTCCAGCCTTTCCCCTGCCACCCTGGTGCTCCTGAGCCAAGGAACGCGGGCGGTGGTCGCGGGGAGGGGAAGGGGAGCCCCGGGAGACGGCAGCAGGATGGGCGGGCGGCCCTCAAGCCCTCTGGATAAACAACAACGGCAGCACCTAAGGGGTGAGTATCCTGAGTGGGGACAGGGTGGGAGTCTGGATGGGAGGGAGCTCCAGCCATCGGGTCTATACGCTCCATGAAGCAGATGGTGCTGGGGGTCAGACCTAGGGCTGTCAAACACACAGGATGCCCTTTTTTTTTTTGACAGTGTCTTGTTCTGTTGCCCAGCTGGAGTGCAGTGGCATAATCTCTGCTCACTGCAACCTCTGCCGCCCGGGTTCAAGCGATTCCCCTGCCTCAGCCTCTCGAGTAGCTGGGACTACAGGCGCACCGCTATGCCTGGCTAATTTTTTATATTTTTAGTTGAGATGGGGTTTCACCATGTTGGCCAGGATGGTCTCGATCTCCTGACCTTGTGATCCGCTCACCTCAGCCTCCCAAAGTGCTGGGATTACAGGCGTGAGCCACCGCGCCTGGCCAACGATGTCCTCTTAATGTGAATTTCACTCAGTGAATCTTTTGTTATTGTTAAGACAGGATCTTGTCTGTTGCCCAAGCTGGAGTGCAGTGGTATGATCACAGCTCACTGCAACCTTGGCCTCCTGGGCCCAAGTGATCCTCCCACCTTAGCCTCCCGAGTAGGTGGGACCACAGGCGTGCACCACCACGCCAAGCTAATGTTTTTATTTGATTTTGTAGAGCCAGGGTCTCACTATGTTCCTCAGGCTGTTCTTAAATGCCTGAGCTTGAGTGATCCTCCCACCTCAACCTCCCAAAGTGCTGGACTACAGGCGGGAGCCACTGCACCTGGTCTGAATCTTATTGTTAGTATAAGTAAATCCCAAATTTTGCATAGTGCATACTTATGCTGAAAACCAATAACACGTTTAATCTTTTTTTTTTTTTTAGGACGGAGTCTCCCTCTATCACGCAGGCTAGAGTGCAGTGGTGCGATCTCAGCTCACTGCAAGCTCTCTGCCTCCAGGATTCAAGTGATTCTCTTGCCTCAGCTTCCCAAGTAGCTGGGATTACAGGCATGCGCCACCATGCCTAATTTTTCTATTTTTAGTAGAAACGGGGTTTCACCATGTTGGCCAGGCTGGTCTTGAACTCCTGACCTTAGGTGATCTGCCCGCCTTGGTCTCCCAAAGTGCTGGGATTATAGGCATGCGTCACCATGCCCAGCCCGTGTCTTCTATTTTATTTGGTAAATATGGCGACCTGATTCAGGATAGGGGTTCAGATGGGAAGCATGGGACCAGCTGGAGGGTGTCCCAGACCCAGCCAGATCCTGAGGGACATCCTCCTGGGTGGGCAGGGACCAGCAGGTTATTTGGCAGGACGCTGGTGATGGAGACTCAGTTCCCAATTTGAGACCAAGAAGGGTGAGTGCCACTCGGGTCCCTCTGTCTTCATATGCAGGGTGAGCCCCTGTGCTGGGCGCTGGGGACATTCTGGGGTTGGCATTGGCCTTATTCTGGCAGGCTCATGGTCTAAACTCCTTCCATCCTGTGGCTCTGCTATGTGGGACTTCTGTGCCCAAGGTGACCTCAAGGCACAGAATGGCTGCTGGAGCTCCAGTCATTGGGTCCACATTCCATGCAGCAGGGTGGAAGAATGTTTTTGTTTTTGGGTCAAATCATGACCCAAAATTGCATGGTGAGAATGATGGGAGAGAGCTCACATGTTCCTTGAGTGTTGGGAAGAGCAGAAGTGGGTGACTGCCTGCCGAGGAGACAATGATCAAGCCAGGGCTGGAGGGATGTGATAGTGTTGGCAGGTAGGAGATACCGGGAGAGCATTTTCGACAGGAGAAACAGCATATGCTAAGGCCTGTGGTGTATCTCACAAACAAACAATTCACGTTCACACCTTGGTCATGCCCTCACTTGCTGTGTGCCCTTTGGTGAGTGACTTCACCTTCCTGGGCTTTATTCTGTTATATGTAAAGTGGGGATAGCAACAATGCCTAGCTCACGGGGACATCATAAGGATTCAATGAGTTACTCTATGTAGCACTGGGATTTTTTTTCAATAGTGGTTTAAACAAGATAAAAGATTTTTTTTTAATCAAACTGCAGGTGTGGACACAGGCAGGCTAGTAAAAGTTAGACACCTAATGTCCTTCTGTCTCTTGGCTCTGCCACGTGTAGATTCCTATGCCCAAGGTGACCTCATGGCACAGAATGGCTGCTGGAACTCCAGCCATTGGGTCCACATTCTGGGCAGCAGAATGGAAGTATGTTTTATTTACAATCAAATGTATACACCTTAGGGCAACAGCTCACAGAGCTAGTCACCCATGTGACTACTTCCTAAATAGATCAGGATACAGGATACTGCCATCACCCACAGAAAGTTCCCTTATGTGCTTTAAAAGCTTTTGAAAAGCCCCTCAGGTAAAGCATATGGAGAAACTTTTGGGTGTGATGGATCCGGTCATTATCTTGATTGTGGTGAGGGTTTCACAGATGTGTGATTGTGTCAAATCTCAGCAAACCATAAGCTGTACATGGTACATGAGCTACAAGTGAAAGTGTGGCTCACACCTGTATTCCCAGTGCTTTGGGAGTCCGAGGTGGGAGGATCGCTTGAGGCCAGGAGTTTGAGACCAGCCTGGACATCATAGCAAGACGTTGTCTCCACAAAAAATTTTAAAAATTAGCTGGGCCTGGTGGGGCGTGCATGTGATCCCAGCTACTGAAGTGGGGCCGAGGGAGGATCACTTGAACCCAGGAGGTGAAGGCTGCAGTGGGATTGCACCACCACACTCCAGCCTCGGGGTCAGAGACCCTGTCTCAGAAAGAGAGAAAGAGAGAGAGAAAGAAGGAGGGAGGGAGGGAGGAAGGAAAGGAAGGGACAAGGCAAGCAGATCACTAGAGCCCAGGAGTTCGAGACCAGCCTGAGCAACATGGTGAAACCTCATCTCTACTAAAAATAGAAAAATTAGCCAATCATGGTGGCAGGCGCCTGCAGTTCTGTAGTCCCAGCTACCCGGGAGGCTGAGATGGGAGAAGCCCGGGAAGTGGAGGCTGCAGTGAGCTGTGATTGCACCACTGCACTCCAGCCTGGGCCACAGAGCAAAACCCTGTGTCAAAAAGAAAGTAGAAGGGCGGGGGGAGGAGCTTCCTCCCAGCCACGTTAATGGGAACAGGCACGGGGGTGAAGGGTGCGTGGAATTTGGTGACAACTTGTTGGGCAGCTCCGGATAACCATAGGAGCCCCAGGTGGCTTCCCTGTCTGTTTTGCCCTTCCCAAGCAGGTCTCTTGGGCAGATTCAATTTGCTGGGCTCACTGTCCCCTTGTCCCTGCAGATCAGATGGACACCCTGCTGAGGAACTTCCTGCCCTGCTACCGCGGGCAGCTGGCAGCATCAGTCCTTCGGCAGATCTCCCGAGAGCTGGGCCCCCAGGAGCCGGCTGGAAGTCAGTTGCTACGAAGCAAAGTGAGTTTTGTGGGGGCGGAGGACCTTTGATGTGGGGGGGTCCTGGAGGAGCCCTCCCTAAGCCAAGCTTCCAACCTCAGACCTTTGCCATTGCCATAGGGTGACTTTAAATATTCACTGTTTGAATAAACATTCACTGAGCGGCCAGGCGAGATGGCTCACGTCTGTAATCCCAGCACTTTGGGAGGCCGAGGCAGGCGGATCACCAGATGTCAGGCATTCAAGACCAGCCTGGCCAACATGGTGAAACCTCGCCTCTGCTAAAAATACAAAAAAAAACAAAAAATAAAAATAAAAAAAAATTAGCTGGGCGTGGTGGCGCGCGCCTGTAATCCCAGCTACTTGGGAGTCTGAGGCAGAAGAATTGTTCGAACCTGGGCAACAGAGCGAGACTCCATCTTAAAAACAAACACCAAAAAATCCTACCAACAAATAAAACCATTCATTGCACATGTCATTCATGCCACATCATGGGCTGGGCATGAGGACACACAGCCTCTGTCCAGCGACAAGGACAGATCCTGCTCTAACCTCTGGGGTTTACAATCTGATGAGACATGAAGACTCCAAACAAGCCGGCATATCCTGATGTGAAATGGAAAAACTTTTTTTTTTTGACAGAGTCTCGCTCTTTTGTCAGGCTGGAGTGCAGTGGCGTGATCCCGGCTCACTGCAACCTCCGCCTCCTGGGTTCAAGCGATTCTCCTGCCTCAGCTGCCCGAGTAGCTGGGACTACAGGTGTGCACCACCATGCCCAGCTAGTTTTTGTATTTTTTAGTAGAGACGGGGTTTCACCATGTTGGCTAGGATAATCTCAATCTTTTGACTACATGATCCACTCACCTCAGCCTCCCAAAGTGCTGGGATCACAGGCGTGAGTCACTGCACCTGGCAACTTTTTTTTTTTTTGAAGTGGAGTTTCCCTCTGTTGCCCAGGCTGGAGTGCAATGGGGTGATCTTGGCTCATTGCAACCTCCACTTCCTGGGTTCAAGCCATTCTTGTGCCTCAGCCTCTAAGTAGCCGGGACCACAGGCTCCCGCCACCATGCCTGACTAATTTTTGTATTTTTAATAGAGACGGGCTTTCACCATGTTGGTCGAGCTGGTCTCAAACTCTTGACCTCGTCATCCCCCCACCTTGGCCTCCCAAATTGCTGGGATGACAGGCACGAGCCACTGCGTCTGGCCTACAGAGGTCTCTGGAACCATGAAGTTGCGTGCCCCATACAACTTACTCTTCACCCGCTTAGGAGATGGGTCTTTGACTGATGAGGAAACTGAGGCAGAGAGAGGCAAAATGACCTGCCTGAGGTCACACTGCAGAGGTGTGATTTGAATCTGGGATCCATGCTTGTTACTAATGCGGGGGGCTCCAGGAGCCGTGGACACAGAGCCTTTTTCCACCTGGGACTCTCCCTGACCAGCCTGGGGCATCATAGGACCTGAGCGTCACCGCAGGGTACGGCAGGAGCTGTCTGGGTGGTTGGGACACAGGGACATCAGCCCACAGCCCCTCACACCTGCTGATCCCTCTGCTTGCAGAAGCTGCCCCGAGTCCGTGAGCACCGAGGACCCCTGACCCAGCTTCGGGGACACCCGCCCCGGTGGCAGCCAATCTTCTGTGTTCTGCGTGGGGACGGCCGCCTGGAGTGGTTCAGCCACAAGGAGGTAAGTGAGTGTCTCGTGGCCTTTCTGCTTCTGGGTCCCTTCTTTCCACGCCCCCCAGCCTCAGCTTATGGAGTCCATCTGTCAGCATAGCCCCCACCTCTATCAATCACCCACTGTGAATCTTGGGCCTCTATATGCTTGGTCTGTTGTAGATCACCTCGTCCCATCCCCTGCTGTGCTGGATGGGTAAACTGAGGCCCAAGGCAGTATCAGAGCTGTGGTTTAAACCTCTTGAGGCCTTTGCAAGTCAGACCTCTGACCCTTCTGCTTTCTGGCTGGGGAGCTTGGGACGATCACTACCTTTCTGAAACTCAGTTTCCACCTCTGTGAAATGGAATGATAGTGTCTCACCCATGTAGGGCATGGAGGGTTCATCAGGTGGGTCCTCAGACAGCACATGGGACCAGCCTGGAAAATGGGGAGCCAGGGGGTGCTGGGAGTTCAGGGACTGAGGGAGGAAGGGAGGGAAAGGGAAAAGGAGGGAGAGAGAGAGAGAGGGCAGGAACAGGAGGAAGGAAGGGAAGGAGGGAGGAAGAGAGGAAGTTATGGGCACGGAGGGAGGATGGATTGGGCGGGAAGAGAGGGAGGGCTGGACCTGGTGGCTCACACCTGTAATTCCAGCCCTTTGGGAGGCGGAGGCAGGTGGATCCCTTCAGTCCAGGAGTTCAAGACCAGTGTGGCCAAGATGGTGAAACCCCATCTGTACTAAAAATACAAAAACTAGGGCCAGGTGCGGTGGCTCACGCCTGTAATCCTAGCCCTTTGTGAGGCCGAGGCGGGTGGTTCACCTGAGGTCGGGAGTTCAAGACCAGCCTGGCCAACATGGAGAAACCCCATCTCTACTAAAAATACAAAAATTAGCCGGGCATGGTGGTGCGTGCCTGTAGTCCGAGCTACTTGGGAGACTGAGCCGGAAGAATCCAGGAGGCAGAGGTTGCAGGGAGCTGAGATCGGGCCGTTGCACTCCAGCCTGGGCGACAGAGCGAGACTCCGTCTTAAAATAAATAAATAAATAAAATAAAATACAAAAATAACCAGGCATGGTGGTACACACCTGTAGTCCCAGCTACTCAGGAGGCTGAGCAGGAGAATCGCTTGAACCCGGGAGGTGGAGGTTTCAGTGAGCTGAGATCGTGCTACTGCACTCCAGCCTGGGCGACAGAGCCAGGCTCTGTCTCAAAACAAAAACAAAAGACAGAGAGAGGAAGGGAGGAAAGGTGGGGGGGGTGGTGTGCAGGTGGGAGGAGCAGAGGATTTTCCAGCTCATCTGAAATCTTCCCTGGATAGTACAGTTGGGACACAGAAGCCACAGTTCAGACCTGTCCCAAGTTGGTTCTCTGGGTGCCTTTTGTAGGAATATGAAAATGGGAACCGCCCCCTTGGCTCCACAGCCCTGACGGGATACACACTCCTGACTTCCCAGCGTGAATATCTCTACCTTTTGGATGCTCTCTGCCCGGCCTCCTTGGGTAAGGGTCCCGGGGTTCCCAGGAGCAGGTTTCTCCACCCCCAGCATTGTTGATATGTGGGGTCAGATCATTCTCTGTGGTGGGGGCGTCCCGTGCACATCCGGGCGTTAAGCAGCATCCCCGGCTTCTACCACTTGGAAGGCCAAGGCGGCTGGATCACTTGAGGTCAGGAGTTCAAGACCAGCCTGGCCAACATGGTGAAATCCCACCACTACTAAAAATACACAATTTAGCTGGGTGTAGTGGCATGTGCCTGTAATCCCAGCATTTTGGGAAGCGGAGGTGGATGGATCACCTGAGTTCAGGAGGTGGCCTCATGAGGCCCCCATTGTGAATATGACAACCACAAATGTCTCCAACATTGCCAAGTGTCTCCCGGGGGCGCCGTTGCCCCGGTGAGCATCCCTGTTCTGGAAAACAAATAAACACCCACTCTCGCCAGAGTGAGAGAAAGAGTTAGGTCGTGGAAACAGAATCAAAATAGCAAAGGATAAAAACAGTAAAAGCTGGGATGTGTGCTGTGGCTCATGCCTGTAGTCTCAGCTACTTGGGAGGCTGAGGTGGGAGGATCGCTTGAGCCTCGGAGGTGGAGGTTGCAGTGAGCCGAGATCTTACCATCACACTCCAGCCTGGGCTATAGAGTGAAACTCCATCTCCAAAAACAACAACAACAACAAAAACAATAGGCTGGGCGAGGTGGCGCACGCCTGTCATCCCAGCACTTTGGGAGGCCGAGGAGGGTGGATCAGTTGAGGTCAGGAGTTCGAACCAGCCTGGCCAACATGGTGAAACCCCGTCTCTACTAAAAATACAAAAATTAGCTGGGTGTAGTGGCATGTGCCTGTAATCACACCACTTTGGGAGGCTGAGGTGGGTGGATAACTTAAGGTGAGGAGTTCGAGACCAGCCTGGCCAACAGTGAAACCCCGTCTCTAGTAAAAATTCAAAAATCAGCCGGGTGTAGTGGCATGCCCCTGTAGGGCAGGAAAATCACAGCTCAGAGACATGAAAACGTGTGCCCTAGAAAGTAGTTTGGACAGGCTGGGCACAGGCTCACACCTGTGATCCCTGCACTTTGGGAAGCCAAGGTGGGCAGATCAAGAGGCCAGGAGATCGAGACCATTCTGGCTAACATGGTGAAACCCCGTCTCCACTAAAAAAAAAAATAGAAAAATTGGTGGGGCGCTGTGGCTCACGCCTGTAATCCTAGCACTTTGAGAGGCTGAGGTGGGTGGATCACCTGAGGTCAGGAGTTCTAAAAAAAAAAAAAAATTAGCCGGGCATGGTGGCAGGTGCCTGTAATTCTAGCTACTCAGGAGGCTGAGGCAGGAGAATCGCTTGAACCCAGGGGTCGGAGGTTGCAGTGAGCTGAGATCATGCCACTGCACTCCAGCCCAGTGACACAGCGAGACTCCATCTCAAAAAAAAAAGAAAAAGACAAAGAAAGAAAGAAAATGAAAGTGGTTTGGGGTTTGATCAGGTTGGAACCCCGGCCGGCTAACTGCAAAGCCCCACATCAAGCCGGTCTCATATAACATCCTAGCTTGGATGGATTGGTGGTGGCTGCCAGGAGGACTGTACTGAGGAAGCTGAGGCTGGAAAACCATGCTGGGATGGATTGGTGATGTCTGCCTTGGGCATGCAATGGAGAAGGTGACTTTACCTCCCCACAAACTGTGCCCTGCCCAGCGCTGCTGGAATAAGGAAGGTGGCAGGTTTCATGGTGTGGCTCATATTTATCGAGCAACTGCCCATTTCAGGGACTGCTGTATGCATTTCAGGGCTATTTTCTCCTAGTGAACGAGTGTTTAGAAGATGCGACCTCCTCTGTTTGTTTTCAGGAGACCATACTCAGGAAGAGCCTGACTCCCTCTTGGAAGTGCCTGTGAGGTTCCCCCTATTCCTCCAGCACCCCTTCCGCCGGCACCTCTGCTTCTCTGCAGCCACCAGGGAGGCACAGCATGCCTGGAGGCTGGCACTGCAGGGTGGCATCCGGCTTCGGGGCACAGGTGGGTCTCAGGAAGGGTCCAGTAGTTGTGAGGCTAATGGTCTGGGGTCACATAGCTCAGCCTCTGTTGGCTTGGGACCTCTCCAGGCCTCACTTTTCTTACCTAGAAAATGGGTTGTTAGACTGGGCATGGTGGCTCATGCCTGTAATCCCAGCACTTTGGGAGGCCAAGATAGGCAGATCACCTGAGGTCAAGAGTTCGAGACCAGCCTGGCCAACATGGTGAAACCCCATCTCTACTAAAAATACAAAAATTAGCTGGGCTTGGTAATGGGCGCCTGTAATCCCAGCTACTCGGGAGGCTGAGGCAGGAGAATCGCTTGAACCCAGGAGGCAGAGGTTGCAATGAGCCGAGATCACCCCATTGCACTCCAACCTGGGCAACAAGAGCAAAACTCCGTGTCAAAAAACAAAACAAAACAAAATGGAAAGAAAATGGGTTGTTGGGGGAGTGGGAAGGGACATCAGGCTGTTGTGAGTGACTAGGGCTGTGACAGAGACACGCAGGATTCTCTGGAAGCTCAGCCTGGGGAATGGGAATTAGAGCAGGCTTCCCAGATGAGGGGAAGCTGGGGTCTGAAAAAGAGGAGGGGCCAGCCAAGTGAAAAAGGGGAATAGGTCAGGCGCAGTGGCTCGTGCCTGTAATCCCAGCTTGATGCCAAGAGTTCAAGACCAGCCTGGGCAACATGGTGAAACTCCATCTGTGCAAAAAATACAAAAATTAGCTGGGTGTGGTGGCATGTGTTTGCGGTGGTCTCAGCTACTCAGGAGGCTGAGGTGGGAGGATCGTTTGAGCCCAGGACTTGGAGGCTGCAGCGAACTGTGATCATGTCACCATACTTCAGCCTGAGCAATGGAGAGACCCCTATCTAAAAAAAAAAAGAGAGAGAGAGAGAGAAAGAAAGGAAAAAAGAAAGAGAAAGAGAAAAAGGAAGGAAGGAAGAAAGGGATGAAGGAAGAAAGGAAGGAAGGAAGGAAAAAGAAAGAAAAAAAGAGGCCGGACGTGGTGGCTCATGCCTGTAATCTCAGCACTTTGGGAAGACAAGGCAGGTGGATCACGAGGTCAGGAGTTCAAGGTCAGCCTGGGCAAACATGGTGAAACCCAGTCTCTACTGAAAATACAAAAAATTAGTTGGGCATGGTGGGAGACGCCTGTAATCCTAGCTACTCAGGAAGCTGAGGCAGGGGAATCACTTGAACCCAGGAGATGGAGGTTGCAGTGAGCGGAGACCAGGTCATTGCACTCTAGCCGGGGCCACAGTACGAGATTCCGTCTCAAAAAAAAAAAAAAAAAAAAAAAGGAAGGAAGGATAAGGAAGGAAAAGAGGGAGAGAGGGAAGGAGGAAGGGAGGGAAAGAGGAAAGCAAAAAAGTAGCGGACCAGCAGGACTGACACACACAGTTGGGCAGGTTGTTAACTGCATAAACGACGCAACTGGAGGAGCAGGTAGTGTCTGCGGTATGTATGGCCTGAACTGCTGGTCACGGGGCTGTGGCTGCCAGCAGAGGGTTCCTTCTAAGTTGAATAAGGGTGCCTTAAGGGCTGGTGGTGATCCTGAGGGAATGTGTTCTCTGCGGCAGGCACTGTCTGTGCAAAGTTCCAGAGATGAGTGAGACTTGGGTGTTGGGCACCTGCAGGAGGAGGGCTTCCTCCCCGGGCCATGGGGAACCAGGCAGGCACTGAGCTATGAGCAGCCACTGAGGCCCAGTCCCTCTCAGTCCTGCAGCGAAGCCAGGCCCCTGCTGCCCGGGCCTTCCTGGACGCCGTCCGACTCTACCGGCAGCACCAAGGCCACTTTGGCGACGACGACGTGACCCTAGGTTCAGACGCCGAGGTCAGTGCCCCGCGAGGCCGCCACCCGGACCACCAGAACCCCTTCTGGCCGGCCGCGGCGCCCACGGCCCCTTCTCCTGCAGGTGCTGACCGCGGTGCTGATGCGGGAGCAACTTCCCGCGCTGCGAGCCCAGACCCTTCCTGGCCTGCAGGGGGCCGGCCGCGCCCGCGCCTGGGCCTGGACCGAGGTTTGCACGGATCCGGACCCGGGAACAGGGGGCGGGATCCGGGCGCTCGGGTTCCCCTCCTACGACTGTGGCCTAAACTTCTGCCGGTCTCTCTGACCCCCATCCTCGCCCCGCGTCTCGTCTCTCCTGCCCTCCTGTCCCGCGTGGGGTCCCCTCGACCGGTCTGGGCAGCTTCTGGAGGCCGTTCACGCAGCTGTCCTGGCCGGGGCCTCCGCCGGGCTCTGCGCCTTCCAGCCCGAAAAAGATGAGCTGCTTGCGTCGCTGGAGAAGACGATCCGCCCGGACGTGGACCAGCTGCTGCGGCTGCGGGCGCGCGTGGCTGGGCGGATGCGGAGTGAGACTCGGGGGCGGGGCCTGGGCTGGGAGGGGCGAGGCAATGCTGGGGACAGATGGGCGTGACCTAAGCGAGGAACGGCCATGGCCTTGGGTGAATAAGGGGCGTGGTCGGGGAAGGGCGGGGCCTAAGCTAGAAAGTGATGGGCGTGGTTTTGTGGGCGTGGCACTAGGGCGGGGCCTAGAGTCTGCCCCAAAGACAAGGTCCTGAGAGGGCTGTGCTGGATACAGCAAGGGCGGAGCCTCAGCGGGGGATCGGCGTGGCCTTGAGGCTGAGGCTGGAGGGGTTGAGGCCCGGAGCTGGGCCACAGCGGGTTGGGCGGGCCTGGAAAGTAGAAGAGCCGGGGAGGGGTGGGCCAAGGTGGCCCCTAAAATACTCAGTTGGGAATCCCGACTCGGCCCGCCCCTCCGAGGCTCAGTTTTCTCATCACTACAATGAGGTAGAAGAGGGTGCTCAGCGTCCCTGTTCGGGTCCCCCTCGCCCTGCTGAACTCGGGCCCCTGCCCATCCCCATCTGCGAGGCACCTTGCGGAGGGGACTCCAGGTCAGTGTCTTCCACTCCCAGCGGATATCAAGGGACCGCTCGAGTCGTGCCTGCGCCAGCATGTGGACCTGCAGCTGCCCCGGGTCGCTCAGACCCTGCTGGACACCGTGGAAGCCTTGCTCAAGGTGGTGCGGACCCTCCTGGCTCAAGGCATGGACCGACTGTCCGGCCACCTGCGCCAGAGCCCATCGGGCACGCGGTTGCGCAGGGAGGTGAGCTCCCGTGGGTAGGGGTTCAGCGGGCCAGCGGGTGATGTGTTGAGTCTTTCCTGTTGAAAACCTCTGAATTTGTTTTAGGCTGCTTTTTACTTATTGTGGACCCATCACCATGCTATAGTCACTGGAGCAGAGTTTTTGCTTTGTTTGTTTTGGAGACAGAGTCTCGTTCTGTCACCCTGGCTGGAGTGCAGTGGCACACACAATCTTAGCTCACTGCAGCCACAACCTCCCAGGCTCAATTGATTCTCCTACCTTAGCCTCCCGAGTAGCTGGAAATACAGGCGAATGTCACCATGCCCAGCTAATTTTTAAATTTTTTTGTAGAGACAGGGTCTTGCCTTGTTGCCCAGGCTGGTCTCAAACTCCTGGGCTTAAGCGATCTGCCTGCCTTGGCCTCCCAAAGTGCTGGGATTACAGGTGCGAGCCACTTCAGTGGCCACGAAGCACAGTTTAAAACATGAGGGGAAAGGAGTTGGATGAGGAGAGTGGCATTTTAGCAAAATCATTCTGAGATCACCCCCCAAACTCCTCCTCCCATTCGCCTGCAGGGAACAACCCATGTGGTCTTGTGAGCCAGATAATTCTGCTCAAGGCAGGTCAACTCAGTGCATCTGATATTCAAGTAGCACCTAAAATCCATCCATCCACCCACCCATCCATGCACACATACATACATATGTGCATACAGAAAGCAGCACCTACTATGTGCCAGGCAACCTTCAACTCATTCCTTTTTTTTTTTTTTTTTTTGAGACGGAGTTTTGCTCTTGTTACCCAGGCTGGACTGCAATGGCGCAATCTCGGCTCACCGCAACCTCCGCCTCCTGGGTTCAGGCAATTCTCCTGCCTCAGCCTCCTGAGTAGCTGGGATTACAGGCACGTGCCACCATGCCCAGCTAATTTTTTGTATTTTTAGTAGAGACGGGGTTTCACCATGTTGACCAGGATGGTCTCGATCTCTTGACCTCGTGATCCACCCGCCTCAGCCTCCCAAAGTGCTGGGATTACAGGCTTGAGCCACCGCGCCCGGCCCTTCAACTCATTCTTAACCTTCTACTTCCTAATCACCTTCTCCAGGATCTGTCCCTGGTCCCCCTCTATGTCTTGTGGTAGCCTGTGCTTCTCTCATCACAGCCTCACTTTCATACCACTGGGGGAGATGTCTACACTCTGTCTCCTCCAATTTGTAAGCAAGGGCTGGCTTAGAGTATTCCATTTCTGCAGCCCCAGGGCCCAGCACAGAGAGGACATGAGGTGGTCATAGATCCAGGTCCAACTGAGTGTGCTCATTTCCTCTCAACTGTGCCAGCACCTCATGTTATCGTTTTTTCAGGTTTTATCATTTTATACCCATGACACCATGCCTCACCGTTCCTTTTATTTTTTGAGACAGAGTCTCGCTCTGTCACCCAGGCTGGAGTGCAGTGTGATCCCAGCTCAATGCAACCTCTGCCTCCTGGGTTTAAGCGATTCTCTCCCTCAGCCTCCCGAGTAGCTGGTATTACAGGTGCCTGCCACTGCGCTTGGCTAATTTTTGTATTTTTAGTAAAGACGGGGTTTCAATATCTTGGCCAGGCTGATCTTGAACTCCTGACCTCATGATCCACCCATGTTGGCCTCCCAAAATTCTGGGAATACAGGCGTGAGCCACCGTGCCTGGCCTTATTTTATTTTTTGACACAGAGTCTGTCTCCCAGGCTGACGTGCGGTGGTGCAGTCTTGGCTCACTGCAACCCCTACCTCCCGGATTCAAGCGATTCTCATGCCTCAGCCTCCCAAGTAGCTGGGATTACAGGTGTGCGCCACCACACCTGGCTAATTTTTGTATTTTTAGTAGAGACGGGGTTTCTCCATGTTGGCCAGGCTGGTATCCAACTCCTGACCTCAAGGGATCTGCCCGCCTCAGCCTCCCAAAGTGCTGGGATTACAGGCATGAGCCACCACGCCCGGCCCACCGCTACTTTATTATGAGTTTCTTTGGTGACAACTGAGGCGGAATGTGTTTTCATTTGGGTTTCTCCTTTGGTGAGTTGGCTGTGGGGTCCTTGGCCCTTTGCAATCAGCTGACAGAACCCCCCCCCACCACAAACTGCTTCCGGGAACATAGGTTTACTCATTCGGGGAGATGCCGTGGGACTTGGCGCTGATGCAGACATGCTACCGTGAGACTGAGCGGAGCCGGGGGCGCTTGGGGCAGCTGGCAGCACCGTTTGGCTTCCTGGGAATGCAGAGCCTCGTGTTTGCGGCCCAGGATCTTGCACAGCAGGTGAGGGTGAGCAGGAGCCTGGGAGGAGGCCAGCCTGCAAAGAGCACCTCCACTAAGTGTGTCCTGGAGAGATCATGATAATTGAGAACGACTCAGCGGGGATGCCAGTCTCATGGGGACATGAGCCCGTTTCCAGGCAGCGCCACACGTGGTGGACAGAGCTGGGGCAGAATGTACAGGGAGCGCCGAGGATGTTCCTGATCCATCTCTGGGGTTGACGGGACTTTCGGGAGGAGGGGACTTCCAACATGGGGCAGCAGTGGGAGGAATGAGGCTGGCGCAAGTCCCGAGTGAACAGTGTTGAGAGCCCTTGTCTGCATTTGGGGAACGTGGAGCAATTTTTTAGAAATGGGGAATATAGGCTGGCGAGATGGATGGGCAGATTGCTGAGTGCCTTGAGTATGGTGCTAAGGGGTGGGCTCTTTCCTGAAGGCAATGGGAAGCCAGAGCATGCGTGTGAGCAGGGGGAGGGCGTGGCTGGAAGTTCTGCCTGCCGTAGGGAGCACAGGCTGTGGAGGGCAGGAAGAGGGGAAGAACAGAGGAGGCCTGGACCAGGATTGCGGATGTCAGTGGGGAGAAGTGAGAATTGTTTTGAAGTCTGAGATGGGACCTGCTGATGGACTTGGTGACAGAAGAAGAGAGTGAGATGATTCAGTCCCACCTGGCACAGTTGTTCAGTTTTTGCACTGCACAAGAGCACTCAGTGGAGGAGGCTGAACTCTGGCTGACTCTCTGCTCCCCATTCTGGGCACCCTGGCACCATCCTTCAGAGGGAGGGGGCTTTCTGCCAGTTTCCACATAGTTTCCCACAGACTGGACCATTCCCAGGTCCTGAGAGGAGGGGAAAGGTGTTTCCTGGGACAAGGAGGAGGAGGTTGGGAGAGGTGGCTGGTTGGGGCAGGCTGGATGCTGAGAAGGGGTCAGCTGGGCAGGCCGGGGCCCAGGAGGCTGGATCACAGATTCTGGGGTCATCACAGCATCTCCTCCCACAGCTCATGGCTGATGCCGTGGCCACCTTCCTGCAGCTGGCCGACCAGTGTCTGACCACAACCCTCAACTGTGACCAGGCTGCCCAGAGGCTGGAGAGAGTCAGGGGGCGCGTGCTGAAGGTGTGGTCTGCGGGTACGGGGTGGCACCGGGTGGCAGTGGGGCCTGGGTCCTCAGATGGTCACTAGAGGCGCCGTTGGGTGTGTTGTGCAGAAGTTCGAATCGGACAGCGGGCTGGCGCAGAGGAGGTTCATCCGAAGCTGGGGTCTCTGCATCTTTTTACCTTTTGTGCTGAGCCAGCTGGAGCCAAGCTGCAGGAAGGTGAGTTAATGGGAAGCGTGCAGGCAGGTCTGAGCATTGCCACACATCCACGTAAGGCAGGCAGAATGTTCTTTGAATATGAGAGACTTCTGCCCAGGAGCCATGGCTCACGCCTGTAATCCCAGCACTCTGGGAGGCCAAAGCAGGTGGATTGCTTGAGGTCAGGAGATCAGTCTGAACAACATAGTGAAACCCCATCTCCATAAAAGTACAGAAGTTGGCCGGGCGCAGTGGGTCATGCCTGTAATCTCAGCACTTTGGGAGGCAGAGGCCGAGGCAGACCCTGAGGTCGAGAGTTCAAGACCAGCCTGATCAACATGGAGAGACCCCATCTCTACTAAAAATATGAAATTAGCCAGGCATGGTGGCGCCTGCCTGTAATCCCAGCCGCTGGGGAGGCTGAGGCAGGAGAATCGCTTGAACCTGGGAGGCAGAGGTTGCATTGAGCTGAGATCGCGCCATTGCACTCCAGCCTGGGCAACAAGATCGAAACTCCAAAAAAAATCATCTCAAAAAAAATCGTCTCAAAAATAAAAACCAAAAACAAAAACAGAAGTTAGCCAGGCGTGGTGGCATGTCCCTGTGGTCCCAGCTACTCCGGAGGCCAAGAGGTGGGAGGATCAATTGAGCCCAGGAAGTCGAGGCTCCAGTGAGCTAGGATTGCACCACTGCACTCCAGCCTGGGCAACAGAGCAATGCCCTATCTCAAAAAAAGGGGTTTCTGTATCCTGAGCCCCGGAGCTGGGTCAGGTGGCTTTTCTGGGCTTCCACAATGCCATCTGCTTTGCCCGTGATGGGGCTGATTACCCTGTGTCTGCTGAGGAAGAGCTGGGATGGGTGTCATAAATCACATATCACCGGGTGACATGGGTACCAGAGGAGGGGCGTGGCGGATGATGGAGAGTTTGGGTAAGGGTTGGGTAAGGGGTTACCAGGGGTCTGGAAGGATCTCCCTGTGAAATGAAGGCACAGGCCATGTCCCGGGGAGGGCATTCCAGGTAGAGGGTACAGCATGTGCAAAGGCCCTGAGGCCTGGCGGTGCCTGGCGTGTTGAAGGAACAGTGACGAGGTGGGTGTGGCTGGGGCTTGATGAGTGGGAGAGTGCGAAGGAGGTCCGGGGAGTCCTAGGTGCCTGGCACACAGGGCTCAGGGGCACCAGGCGGGTGTCTGACACAGGTACAAACGGAATCCTCTAGAGAAAGTGGCTGGGGGCTTGGGGAGTCCCAGCGGAGATACTCACAATACTCCCTGTGAGGTGTGACTTGTTGTGTCTAATTAATCTCATGAATCCTTTCCACAACGATAGAGAATAGGGGTCACTGAGTCCATTTTAAAGATAAGGAAACTGAGGCCCAGTGTGGTGGTGAAGGCCTGTCATCCCAGCACTTTGGGATAGTGAGACCCTATCTCTACAAAAAATACAAGCATTAGCCAGGTGCGGAGTGCATGCCTGTAGTCTCAGCTACTTGGGAGGCTGAGGGGAGAGGATCGCTTGAGCCTGGGAGGTTGAGGCTGCAGTGAGCCATGACTGTGCCACTGCACTCCAGCCTGGATGACAGAGTGAGACCTGTTTATTTTTATTTTTATTTTTTTATTTTTGAGACAGAGTCTTGCTCTGTCACCCAGGCTGGAGTGCAGTGTCTCGATCTCGGCGCTCTGCAACCTCTGCCTCCCGGGTTCAAGCAATTCTCTCCCTCAGCCTCCTGAGTAGCTGGGATTACAGGTGCCTGCCACCACACCCAGCTAATTTTTTTTGTATTTTTATAGAGACGGGGGTTTCACCATCTTGGCCAGGCTGGTCTTGAACTCCTGACCTCCTGATCTACCTGCCTCAGCCTCTCAAAGTGTTGAGATTACAGGCATGAGCCATCGTGCCCAGCCAAGACCTGTTTATTTTGTTTTGTGTTTTTTTAAATTTAAAAAAATATATAAACAACTCCTTCAAAGCAGAATATTTATTTATTTATTTATTTATTTTGAGATGGAGTCTCGCTCTGTTACTAGGGTGGAGTGCAGTGGTGTGATCTCAGCTCTTGACCTCATGATCCACCCGCCTTGGTGTCCCAAAATGCTGGGATTACAGGCGTGAGCCACCACACCTGGTCCGTGTTTATTTTGAAATAAATAAAAAAAAAAAACCTTAAAAAAATAAAGATAAGGAAGCTGAGGCCCGACGCTCCCTCCCCCACAGCTAATCAAGACCAAGGTTAGGGCAGAAACCCACGACATAGGCCTCTAGAGCCCCTCCCCTCCAGCTGAGCCCCTAACCTGCCGTGGTTCCAGGAGCTGCCTGAGTTTGAGGGGGATGTCCTTGCCGTGGGCAGCCAGGCTCTGACCACCGAGGGCATCTATGAGGACGTCATCCGCGGGTGCTTGCTGCAGAGGATTGACCGAGGTGAGTCCTGCCCTGCCATGGCTCAGGGGAGCCTAGGCTGGCAGCCACTGGCTGTATGTACCGAGTCCCACCAGGGCCCCATCGCCTCTCACTCTCTGTGAACACTTGCCATCCAACCTCAAGTCAGGACTTGGCCAGAGTTGGTCCAGGGTGGAGAAGCTCAGAGGGGCAGGGAAGGAAACTCTCTTTGGATTGGGGCTCTGAGGGACGTATAGGAGTTCTCAGGATGAGGAGGAGGCAGAGTTCAAAAACTATGGATAGAGGTTGGGTGTGGTGGCTCACCCTTTTAATCCCAGCACTTTGGGAGGCTGAGGTGGGCAGATCACTTGAGGTCAGGAGTTCGAGACCAGCCTGACCAACATAGTGAAATCCCGTCTCTACTAAAAATATAAAAACTTAGCCGGGCGTGGTGGTGCACACCTGTAGTCCCAGCTACTCAGGAGGCTGAGGCAGGAGAATTGCTTGAACGTGGGAGGCAGAGGTTGCGGTGAGCCAAAGTCATGCCACTGTGCTGCAACCTGGGTGACAGAGCAAGACTCCATCTTTATTTATTATTATTATTATTTTTTTGAGAGAAAGTCTCACTCTGTTGCCCAGGCTGGAGTGCAGTGGCACAGTCTTGGCTCACTGCAACCTCCGCCTCCTGGGTTCAAGTTATTCTCCTGCCTCAGCCTCCCAAGTAGCTGGGGCTACAGGCACGTGCCACCATGCCCAGCTAATTTTTGTATTTTTAGCAGAGATAGGGTTTCCCCATGTTGGCCAAGCTGGTCTCGAACTGCTGACCTCCAGTGATCCGCCTGCCTCAGCTTCCCAAAGTGCAGGGAGTGGGTCCATCCTGAATTAATTTGTGATGTCTGCCCAGAGCAGTGTGTTGGGAGGCGAGGCTGGTGGTGTCCAGGCTCGGTGAAGGGTGCAGGGATCAGCTAGCAATGTCTGCCATGGGTGCGGGCTGGGAGAGAGGCTTTATGTGAGCCACCTGTTCAGGATTCCTATTTTGAGACATTTGTAGTCTCTCTGGGAAAATGCAGGGTACCCACTGAATTTCTGAAAGAAAGAAAAAAAGAAAATGCAGGGAAGCCACTTGGTGCCTGGGCTTCCCCAGGTGTGTCCAAGAGTTTATCTCATTTCAGAATTGAAAAAGGCCCTTGGTGCCAATGATGTATCCTGCACTCTAGATGGCTGCTTGGAGGTCCCATGGGAACAGGAGGAAGCAGGTGGGGAACTTCACAGCCTTCTGGAACATGCCAAAGTGATTGCTGGGGGTGGGGAGGTGGGGGCCTGCATGGGGTGTATGGGATTGTTGTGAGTGTGGGTTCATGGATGGCACAGGATGCACCTTGCCTCCTTACCCAGCCAGGCTGGCCAAGCTCATGAACAAGCGCAGTGGGAAGCTGTGGAGTGTATCTGAGCCACAGAGGGACGCTCTAAGGCAGGCAGGCCTCTGACATGCATGCGAGCTCAGCCCTCAGGAGATGAAATTGTGGCGAATTTGTGTCCCATCTCTGTTTTTTTTTTTTTTTTTTTAAAAGGGATCTAGCTCTGTTGCCCAGGCTGGAATGCAGTGGTATGATCTCGGCTCACTGCAACCTCCACCTCCCAGGTTCAAGTGATTCTCCTGCCTCAGCCTCCCAAGTAGCTGAGACTACAGGCGTGTACCACCACACCTGGCTAATTTATGTATTTTTAGTAGAGACAGGTGTGTCACCATGTTGGCCAGGCTGGTCTCAAACTTCTGACCTCAGGTGATCTGACGGCCTCAGCCTCCCAAAGTGCTGGGATTACAGGTGTGAGTCATGATGCCCAGCCTTTGTATTTCATCTCTAATGCCAGGAGTTAGGGGACATCTTCCAATGGCTACTTCCTGTTCCCAACTTGGAAAGGGAGATTGTAGTGATGGGGTCCTTAGGTTTACCACCAGGAAGAGCTTGCAAGATGGGCATAATTTGGGGGATAATTTTTTATGCAGCAGTAGCTAACTAATACGCTTCCCAGCTGATCTGGGACAGAGAAACTGATCAATATTTACACTAACTTGAATAAATAAACAGTCCTAGAAAGACTTCTAAGGGCATGCACAGTGGCTCATGCCTGCAATCCCAGCACTCTGGGAGGCCAAGGCGGGTGGATTGCTTGAGCCTCAGAGTTTGGGACCAGCCTGGACAACATAGCAAGACCCCATCTCTACAAAAAGTTGAAAAATTAGTTGGGTGTGGTGGAACGCACCTGTAGCCTCAGCTACTCAGGAGGCTAAGGTGTCAGGATTTACTTGAGCCCAGGAGATGGAGGCTGCATTGAGCATGGATTGCACCACTGCCCTCCAGCCTGGGCCACAGAGGGACACCCTGTCTCAAAAAAAACAAACTAACAAATACAAACTTCTGAGTGTCAGAATATTTGAGGATTTGCAATCGGATGTGAAGGATTGTGGACAGGCCCCTGAATCTCTTTCACCAGAACCACGCCAATTGGCATTTGGTTTCTAGTCTTTCATACTAACAGCCAATGCCGCAGGGAATTATCTTGTACACGCCTTTTGTGCAAGTGCAGGTTCCCGTGGGCAGATCCCGAAATAGGAAAGCTCTGACTTTAAAGTAGGTGTGTTTGTCATTTCAACAGAAGGCTGTCCCCCAGGTAGCCTCACCTGCCGCCCCTCGCCTTTGTTCGGGAGGGTTAGGAGCTGCTTTCAGCCCCTTCTCTGAGAACCTTCTTTCCTACCCTTCACCCTTTATCTTTTGGCTGGTTATACATTTCTCTTTTTCTTTTTATTTTTTTTGAGATAGAGTCTCTGTCGCCCAGGCTGGAGTGCAGTGGCAGGATCTTGCCTCATTGTAACCTCCACCTCCCAGGTTCAAGCGATTCTCCTGCCTCAGCCTCCCAAGTAGCTGGGACTACAGGCGTGCACCACCACACCTGGCTAATTTTTGTATTTTTAGTAGAGATGGGGTATCACCATGTTGGTCAGTAACCATGTTGGTCTCTAACTCCTGACTTCAGGTGATCCGCCTGCCTCGGCCTCCCAAAGTGCTAGGATTACAGGCACGAGCCACTGTGCCCGGCCTACATTTTTTTTTTTTTGAGATGGAGTTTCACTCTTGTCCCCGGCTGGAGTGAAATGGCGCGATCTCAGCTCATTACAATGTCCACCTCTTGGGTTCAAGCGATTCTCCTGCCTCCTGAGCAGCTGGGATTATAGTCGCCCACCACCACATCCAGCTAATTTTTGTATTTTTAGTAGAGACGAGGTTTTACCATGTTGGCCAGGCTGGTCTCAAACTCCTGACCTCAGGTGATCTGCCCATCTCGGCCTCCCAAAGTGCTGGGATTACAGGCGTGAGCCACCATGCCTGGCCAACATTTCTATTAACTCTGATTTTTTTTTTTTTTTTCTGAGATGGAGTCTTGCTCTGTCCCCCAGGCCGTAGGGCAGTGGCACGATCTTGGCTCACGGCATCCTCCACCGCCCGGGTTTAAGTGATTCCTCTGTCTCAGCCTCCTGAGTAGCTGGGACTACAGGCAGGTGCCACCATACCCAGCTAATTTTTTTGTATTTTAGTAGAGACGAGGTTTCACCACTTTGGCCAGGATGATATTGATCTCCTGACCTGTGATTCATCTGCCTCGGCTTCCCAAAGTGCTGGGATTACAGGCGTGAGCCACCGTGCCTGGCCCATTAACTCTGATTTTTTAAGCACTTATTACATACCAGATGTCCGACATGTCTGACTTTTTGATGTCTGTTTGATATTTTTCATTATACAGATGAGGAAACTGAGGCTGAGCGAGAAGGAGCGACCTGTCCCGGGCAGCCAGGCTCTGGTGCCCAGATCCAGCCACGCGGCCCGCCGTCTTCTCGAGAAACACTCCATAGCTGAATCTTCACCGGAATCTATCTTGTTTCTATTAGATAAATGTCTACAAGAGGAATTTTTGGGCCAAAATGGATGTGCCATCTTTAGGCTTTTGTACCCACTGCCCATCCAGAAAACTGTGCCATTTTATACTCCAAGCAGCAGCATTTGTGTATTTCTTCCAAGTCTTTACTTTTTTTTTGAGGCAGAGTCTTGCTTTGTCACCCAGGCTAGAGCGCAGTGGCATGATCTCGGCTCACGTAACCTCCCCCTCCCAGGTTCAAGTGATTCTCCTGTCTCAGCCTCCTGAATAACTGGGATTACAGGTGCCTGCTGCCACGCCCAGTTAATTTTTGTATTTTTAGTAGAGACGAGGTTTCACCATGTTGGCCAGGCTGGTCTCAAACTCCTGTCCTCAAGTGATCTGCCCGCCTCGGCCTCCCAAAGTGCGGGGATTACAGGCAAGAGCCACCGAGCCCGGTCCATTTTTTTTTTCCGATAATAGAGACAGGGTCTCGCTATGTTGCCCAGGCTGGACTTGAACTCCCAAACTCCAAGCAATCCTTCTGCCTCGGCCTCCCAAAGTGCTAGGGTTATAGGAGTGATCCACCCTGTCCAGCCTCCAAATCCTTTCTCAACACGAGGACTTTTCATAAAAAGAAAAAACTATGCCAATTAGACACACACAGAAATCTCATTCTTTTATTTTGAATTTATTTGACTAGATTGAATTTACAAATAAGTTTATTATGGCCGGGCGCAGTGGCTCATGCCTGTAATCCCAGCACTTTGAGAGGCTGAGGTGGGTAGATCACTTGAGCTCAGGAGTTCAAGCCCAGCCTGGCTAACATAGTGAGACCCCGTCTCTACAAACAAATACAAAATTAATAGCTGGGAGTGGTGGCTCATGCCTGTAATCCCAGCACTTTGGGAGGCTGAGACAGCTGGATTGCCTGAGGACAGGAGTTTGTGACCAGCCAGGGCAACATGGCGAAACCCCATCTCTACTAAAAATACCAAAAAAAAAAAAAAAAAAAAAGAAGCTGAGCTGAGAGGGTAGATTTACCTATTTACCTGAGCCTGGGAAGTCAAGGCTGCAGTGAGTCTGCACTCCAGCCCGGGCCATGCGGGTGAGACCCTGTCTCAAAAAACAAGATCCAGATATGTTGATTAGCCATTTGCCTGTTTGTAGTTTTGTTTTTTCATTTTAGCGAATTGCCTGTCCATAGCTTTATTCTACTTTTCAGGAGTGTTTAGATTTTTCTTATTGATATCGAATCACTTTTTTTTTTTTTTTTTATGGAGACGGAGTTTCGCTCTTGGTACCCAGGCTGGAGTGCAATGGCGCGATCTCGGCTCACCGCAACCTCCGCCTCCTGGGTTCAGGCAATTCTCCTGCCTCAGCCTCCTGAGTAGCTGGGATTACAGGCACGCGCCACCATGCCCAGCTAATTTTTGTATTTTTAGTAGAGACGGGGTTTCACCATGTTGACCGGGATGGTCTCGATCTCTTGACCTCGTGATCCACCCGCCTCAGCCTCCCAAAGTGCTGGGATTACAGGCGTGAGCCACCCCGCCCGGCCCGAATCACTTTTTTTATCTGAAGGGTATGAAGGCTTCCTGACACAGGTTACAGATTTTTTTTTTTCTCGGCTTGCTGTGAGCTGTTAGGGTTTGTTTCCTAGCTGCAAATCTTAACTTGGTATCAAGTTTCCCGGCCGGGAGAGCAGCCTTTCCCTGCCTCCCTCTGCTTGCCAGGAAAGTCATGTGCTAAGTAGATAATGGCAGCCTCTCCACTCTCACGAGCTTTGCAGCTGCTTCCGGAGTGGGTTCCACAGGGATTCCCTGTGTTCTTGGTTCAGCTTACAGAGGGACGGTCACACTCCATGGAGACAGTTTCCTCCCATTCTGTCTGGAGTTTTCAGCCTCCCCTAAGACAATAAGATATTCCTGACCTTTCCAGCTACTTCCCTCCAACCCCACCTTCCGAAATACATTTTCGAATACATTTGCACTTCAGAGTCTCCTTCAGCTGTCTTCCTTTTACCCTGGACGGGGTGGGACGGGATGTAGATGTTAATTCTGGAACAATTGCAGCCGCAAGAATTTGTCATCTTGCCCCTTTTGAGAAAACCATTGTTTGCCCTGGGGTCTTTTTCTTAATATGAAAACATCTTTCTTCGTCAAGTCCACAGAGTGTAAATTTGTTTTTAACTTTTTTTTTTCTTTTAAGATGGTGTCTCGCTCAGTTGCCCAGGCTGGAGTGTAGTGGTATGATCTTGGCTCACTGCAATCTCCACCTCTTGGGTTTAAGAGATTCTCCTGTCTCCGCTTTCCGAGTAGCTGGGATTACAGGTGGGTGCCACCACGCCCGGATAATTTTTTGTATTTTTAATAGAGACGGGGCTTCACCATATTGGCTAGGCTGGTCTTAAACTCCTGACCTCAGGTGATCCACCTGCCTCGGCCTCCCAAAGTGCTGGGATTACAGGCGTGAGCCACTGCGCCCGGCCTGTAT